GGGACTCCAGGATCACACCCTGGGCTGAAGGCAGGCGCTAAACCGCTGAGCTGCCTTTTTTTTTTTTTTTAAGATTTTATTTATTTGAGAGAAAGACAGAGAAAGAATGAGCAGGGGGAGGACCAGGGGGAGGGGGAGAAGCAGACTCCCCGCTGAGCACGGAGCTGATGTGGGGCTTGATCCCATGACGCTGAGATGCTAAAAGCAGATGCTAAACTGACCAAGCCACCCAAGAGCCCTGGTACGGAATTTATGACGGTGGTTGGGGGTAGTACTTCATATGGAAAATAGAACAGAGGTGTTCCTCACTGCTCCTGAGAGGTAGACAAAACACAAGGTAAGTTCAGAGGAACAGGGGGTGATCAGAAAGCCCTAAATTCAGAGTGACAGGAAATATGCTTAGCTGGCATAGGCCAGACAGTGATCAATCAGAATCAAGGTGAGCTGTGGGAGCACAGCAGGGTTCTGCAAGTTCCCTGCTGGGCCAAGCATCACCCCTTTCGAGAATGGATTGTGGAAAGCCTGGGTTATGGAGAAGAGCCTGGAGTACTGGGGGCAGAAGAGGGCTTTGGGAAGATGGCTCAAGAAAGTGGCTATTTATCCACTAATAAGAAAGTATTTTAATATTTTAGGAATATTGTAGCCAACACAGTGCTTGCCTGCTGAATGAAGATCAACCCAGATACGAGTGATCTCCTGGCAGTACTCTATGCAGCTTTAGAATATTTCGTGCCTTTTTCTGACGGGGACAACTCTTGTCAGACTTAGTTCCACAGGGAGACCACTAGAGACCATTTTCATAGGGGCTAATAAAATTCTGTCACACGACATGAGGAGAAAATCTATAAAGAAGCTCCATGACACTCTAGGAGAGAAATAAATGTATTTCACAGGAAAATAACCAACAAGAAAGGTTTTAGAAATGTTGTCCTGACTCACGAAGCTCTCATTGTCCACACCCCACTGTGTCAACACCATTAGCTCCAGGAACATCAAACCAGGTGAGACATTTTTTGTAAATGTCACCCTCTTGCCCAAAAAACAAGCCTTCACATTCACATCTAAGGTTTTCTAACTGCTCCTGCAACCTGAGGAGGTGGCAGAAAAAAATGTTCATCTATATTTGCTACGGGGATTCCTGAGGAAGTTGAGTTCTGGGGATCTCCTTGTTCCCAGGGTCATGAGTTCCTTTTTTTTTTTTTTTTTTTTAAGATTTTATTTATTTATTCATGAGAGACACAGAGAAAGAGGCAGAGGGAGAAGCAGGCTCTTCGCAGGTAGCCCAATGCGGGACTCGATCCCAGGACTCCAGGATCATGCCCTGAGCTGAAGGCAGACCTTCAACTGCTAAGCCACCCAGGTGTCCCATGAATCCCTCTTTGGTATAATCCTTAACTCACCCTACCAAATGGGCAGGGGGAATGAGCTTAGGAACATAATTAGTCCATTGAAAATGAAATAACATGAAAGAACATAATATATTCTTTTTTTTAAAAGACCCATATATTTATAGAGAGAAGAGAGGGAGAAAGACAGTGTGTGAGTAGGGGGAGGGGCAAAAGGAGAGGGAGAAGGGGAAGCAGACTCCCTGCTGAGTGTGGAGCTGACCAGGAGGTCAGTCTCACAAACTTGAGATCATGATCTGAGACAAAATCAAGAGTTGGAAGTCCAACTGACTGAGCTACCCAGGAGCCCCAGAGCATAATATATTCTTAATATTAGGTGCTGAAAATGGGATTTACATATTTGTTTTGGGAGAACATTTACTATGGGCCATAGCATCTAGTGATCTCATTTGGCTGGGTACACTGTCCCCAAGGGCCATTTCAACTTACATGAGTCATGCCCATAGGCCCTGGTGGATCAGGTGATATGCTGAATCAATGACTTTTTCAGAGTTAAGATTGTAAAAGACAAAGTTAAAAAGGCAAGGAAGACTTTATTCAGGGATATTGCAATAGTGTAGTGACACTAAACTCAATTCCACTGAAGCAAGGACCTGGTGAGTTTTTAAGAGGTGGGGTCAGGGGAATCTCAGGCCACCTGCATTTGTTACCTGCCCTTCACAATTGGAGCGAGGTGCCCACCAAAGACAAGTGTCTACCCTCCCACAGAGACTGGGAGATAGGGATGCTATCTCCTGTGATATTTTCATCTCAAAAAGAAGGTCTCCAGGTCCCTGAGAAAGATATTCCTGGACTGTAAGACCAGCAAAAGACTGGAAGAAGATCTGTATAGATTTCAGAGGGGCAGAAAAAGAATTTATAAATTGCAAGTTTTCTAAAGTAAATGCTCTAAGAAAAGGGAGGTCAGGGGCCTGCCATCAGGAAGAAACCTGTCTAAACTTTAGTCAAATGGAGGAAAATGTTAGTCAACTTGGCTACCCTCTAAGGCAATCTATAAAGGCACCACAGAATTTGTTCCTGTTTGCTTGAGAACAATCCTGAACCCATGGATACATTAACTTGGAAATTTTGAGTCTCTGTGTGGGTTTATGAATAGCCCACTGAAATAAGCTTATAAATGTTTCCTTTTAATGCCCTCACCCAAGACTATTTTCATTGAATAAGTCAACAAATATTTATGAAGTACCTATTCTATGCTGGGCATCATTTTAGTAGAGCAACATGGAAACTTCTCTTCAAAGAGACTTCTTAAGCAAGGAAGATGAAAGATGAGTAAATGAAGATATAAAATATGTGAGAGTCCCTCAAAAGTTAAATATGAAGGAACCGTGTGATCTAACAATTCTGCTCCTAGGCATCTACCCCACAGAAATAAAAATGTATGTCCACCCACAACTGTGCACAGGAATGTTCGTAACAGCCTTATTTATGATAGTCAAAAGGTAGAAACCACCAAATGCCCATTAAATGAAGAATGGATAAATAAAATATGGCATATCTGTACACAGATTTTTCTGTAGCAGGGAGAAATGAGATACTGACATGCGCTACAACATAAAAGAACCTTGAACACAGTATTTGAAGTGAAAGAAGCCAGTCACAATGGACCACACACTGTATGATCCTATTTGGACAGAAGGCCCAGAACAGGGAAATCCGGAGACACAAAGCAGATTAGTGGTTGCTTTGGGCTTTCGGGGTTGGAGAAAATGAGGAGAGACTGGTAATGGGTATGGGGGTTCTTTTTGGCGTGGTTAAGTGTCCTAAAATGGACTGTGGTGATGATTTAGTAGAGTCACAATATTATGGTTGTGAGAAAATGAGAATAGTACTAGATTTGCTATTAGCAGATCTGGTTGGAACACAAGTGTCAGATACTTGACTTGTCAAATGCATGTCCTTTGAACTTTCTCTTGTGTTTTCTGCCTCATTGAATGGTCTTGCCATCCATCCGCCTGGTTCCCCAAACCAGATACACAGGAGCCATCTGAATGCACATCTCCCAGCCTCTCGCTGCCCTCAGCTAATCAATGGAGCCCTATCAATTCTTTCTTCAGTATTTTGAAATGTTTTGTCTTCTCCATTCCTGATCCTCCTGCCTTTTTCCTGACATCATGTCCCACCTGGTCTACTGTGAAAGCCTTCTCTAAGTCCTAGAGTTTAATACCTCCCACCTTCCACATCACTGGGAGGGCAGTATTCCTAAAAACACCCCTTGTGTCCCAACTCTGCTCAAAATCATTCAGTGGTTCATGACTGTGTCATGACAGCAAACACATATCCAATGCCCCATGTGTGCCAGGCACCATCCTGACTTTGGGTACATTAACTCTAATCCTCACATCAGTATGTGGCAGAGAAGGGGATTAGGCATGAAGAGGTAAATGATCTACCCAAGGCCGTGTGCTGGCCAAGCCTGGAGCTGGAGTTGAATCCAGGGAGCCTGGTCAGGGTCTGTGCTTGTAGCCCACACACTAGGCTGCCTCACGACGATGGAGACCAAAATTTTCCTGTGACCTCTGCCCTGCCTAACCCCTGCTCCCCAAAGGCTCCGGGGCTCTGGAAATACTGAACTGTCTGCATTTCTTCGAAATGGCCTCTTATTAGCCTTGCCACCTCGGGTATGGCCAAAAAGTTCATTGATGAGACAACTGGGGGACATGACTCCTATGGGTGCCCTCCATCTCCCCACACTTTCAGGTAGGTGTGGGCTGTGCTCTAGGTTTAGTGATGGTCACCATTAAGAAAACTCTATAAACAATGTCCAAAATGCAACTCTTCAGCTAGTAAGAGAGTTGAGGATCGTTCATAATAAAGGAGAATGTCAAGAACATACCTCCAAAGGGACTGTACCCTGATGGCTACACAGAGCTATGATCCCATTAGCATTCTCACTTCTAGGAACTCACTTCCTTCCCTACATGGAGTGTACCTTTGTCTCCTTCCAGAGACACATGCTCAACTGTGGGATCTTCACACACTGTGCACTGCTCTCTCTCTGCAGTGAAAGGCTTACTGGCACTCTTCCCTCAAAGTCCTGAAAGGGCGCTGGGACCCCAGCACAGGAGTCTATGTTTTGCTTGACAGTGAACATCAGCTGGGGGATACTTCAAGTTGAGGGGTACTCTGGTTACTGTCGTAACAGCCTATATGTTCATGTGAGAGTCACCTGAGGGGGTCTTCCAGGCTTTCTGGTCCCTCCTTGCCGGACATTTCAGGCAGTCTCCCACTGAAACCTGGTTCCCCCCACAGGCTTCAGCCTCCAGGACTAGAGTCCCCACCTTCCCTGAAGCAGATGCCAGGATCTCTTTGGAAGTCTTTGGAATCCTGATTCTTGGGCTGGGAATTCCAACAGCAACTCTTTGGGTGCGGAATCTTGGAAAGGCCACTTCAAAACTGTCTCGGCTGGAGCCTCACAACAGGCTCTGCTTCTGTGAAGGTCTGCGTGATGCCAAAAACATCTCCAGTGCTCCAGAAGGAGCAGCCAATGGAAGTCACAACTGAGACCCCTCCTACTCCCCCCCACCCCTCCCCACCCCTGCCAGGGGCATCCAGGTCTCCTGCCTCCCTCCCTCCTGGCATGCCTGGCACAGAAGTGAGGATCTGGCGGCCGGCTTCAAGTCCTGTAGAACCCTCTCTGCCCTGAGGTTCCCTAACGGAGTCTCAAACCCCCGGCAAAGATGGCCTGGAGACAGCTGCTCCTTGCCTCCGGGCTCTTAGCTGCTGTGCTCCTGACCAGTGAGTATGGGGGGGAGGCTCCAGGATGGATTGGTGTTAGATGAGGCTTCTCAGCTGGCCCAGATCGGGTGTGTGTGCTTACTGTAGTACCTGGGGTGTGTGTGTGTTATGTGTGTGTATAACACAATACAACATAGAAAGAATAGCTTGCCTGGTGGTTTCCTGGGGAGACTGCTCTGCAGCTAGGATGTGAGGGACCCAGGGCCCCACAATGGGGCCTGGCAAGTCTCAGTGTTCAGGAAGGACTGTCCCAGCCCAGCTGTGGGTGAGGTGGGCAAAGGCTCCTCTTGGGGTGCTGCAGCCCTCAATGCTGTGCTTTCCCACAGTGCTGCAGGAGGGGACTGGTGCATCAGTGGGTACCCAGCAGGTAGCAGAACAAGAGGCCCAGGAAGGTGAGTGCAAGAGTCACCGAAGGGTGCAAAGCAGGTGGGCCAGCCACTGTAGTAGCCCTGGGGAACTTGCATCGGTCATGACTGGCCTCTCTCGGGTTTCAGATGTGGAACAGAAGATTTTCATGCAGGAATCAGATGCCTCAAATTTCCTCAAGAAGCGTGACAAGCGGTCCCCCAAATCCCGAGATGAGGCCAATGGTAAGGATGCTGGAGATCTGCACCTAACCCCCACCTCCCATTCCTTTCTCACAGTCAGCTGGGCTCTGGGGACTGCAAAGGGAGCCCAGAGGGAGGGTTCCACATAGACTATCGGGTATCAAAGTGACAGCGGCTCTGAATTAGAAATTCCACATTTCCTCAACTGCAGGTCACATCTTGGGACTGCCCCATCAGGGTAAGGAACACACAAAGAGACAGTGCAACACTGAATGCACCTAATAGGGATGAGACGCTTTCCAATTCCAGAAAGTTTAAATGTTAAGAATTGTGTTCTAGTCAAGAGGGAATGCAGTATCTGGGTGTGTGCTTTCTGGGGGTATCGGGCAGTGCCCCCCATGCAAGAGCAACAAATGGCACTATAGCAGAGAGAGGGCACACAGGACTGGGAGCTCGGACTGTGGGCTTGGTGACAGCTATGCTAAGTGGCCTTGGCCACTTCCTCCCCTTGGCCCCAAGTTTCCTTATTTATAAGTTCCTGAAATTGTGGTATTCAGCCAGCAGTGGTTGTGGGGTTTTTTGTGTTTGTAATTTTTCATTTCCAATGTATTTGGAAGACTTTTGAGCTTGGAAGCGTGTCTCCTTCTCAGTCTGAAGTAGGCCCTGGTGTCCCCTGCCTGGCAAGGACCCTCATTTCCATGACCTGCTGACCCTGGAAGGCATCTGAGTTTTCTGCCCTTGGACTAGATTCTTCCAAGGACTCTGAGCTCTGTCTCTGAGGCTGTGGCTTGATTCATTACTTGTGCACGTGTCTGAATAAACTCTTTGTGTCCCTCGGCACACTCAGAAAGCTTTACAAGCTCCGTCAAAAATAACAAGACTGTTTTCAAATAATGAAAAAGGCTTGGAGATGAAATTCCTTTCCCACCCCCTCCAACTGGATAAGAATGAACCACACCGGGAAAATCTCCAGGCCTCTCACAACTTGAGATTTAGAAGTTAGCAAACATCGAATACTGGAAGGGCTGTGATAAAGGCTGGGCAGTTTGTGATGGAGATCAGAGAAGCGGCCTCCTGGCAGACTTCCAGTGGGGAACAGGCGTGAATTTGGGAGAGGCGAATATTTTCCATTCTCCTAAGCTGATTCAAAACCATGAGGAGTGTGATGAAGCCATGGGGTCCTCTCCTCAAACAGAAGCTCTGTGGGTCAGTCGTGGGTGGGTGGAGGGTGGGGTGGGGCCAGGACAGCCTAGTGAAGACATAGGACACACCTGAGTTCACTTGCTGTCACCCAGTCAACTCCTGTGCAGGGGCAGGAGAACAGAGCCCAGTTATGTCTCAGGCTGGGTAACAGGCAGGTAACATTGATAGAATGCAATCTGGAACCAGGAAACAGGCATCTGACATCTCTAATCTTCTGGATAAAGATGAGAAATATTCCTCTGGGATGAGAGGAGACACTGAGAATACAATGCAGAACCTGAGAAGGGATGTACACAGTGCACAGGAGGCACGGTGTTAACATGGCATTCTGTCCCGGGACTTAAATTGTCCGTAGCCATCGCTGAGGCCAGAGTCCCATCTGCTGCTCCTCCAGAAAGGCAACTTGGGAAGACCGCTTTTTTTTGAAGTACAAAGGAATGGAAAATGCTTAGTTATGAACTGGTGATGGCTCATTAAGCACCTGCTTCCTACACTCCAGACCCCCTTGCCTGCCATCCCCAGTGGCTTTCTGGTGCCTGGAGCATGGGCACCTGGGGCTCTGCTCATCCCAAGCGATGCCCTGACCAGCTGTGTAACTTTGATTAGGTCATTGCCCCTCTCTGAGCCTCAATTCCCTCTTGAGAAATGTATGGATGTGGGGCAAGCTGGTGGTGGTGGTGGGGAGGTGGATGCATGGGGGAGGACTGGAGTACCAATTCCTTCGCCAGTCTCAAGAGTCCTACAACTATGTGGGTAAAGGGGCAAGTGTGGGAAAAACATGGGATTTCCCTGAGGAATCTGCAGTGAGACCAATTCACAGGTAACTGGACTTTTACTCGGAGTTAAAATAACATAATATAAATAACTAGTATTTATGTATTACTCTAAGCCCCTTAACTTTCAAAGATTTCAGATGGTTTATGGTATTATCATTTCACAAAGAAATACTGTGTTGTTTGTGCCAGCACCACTGTAATGTGGGGTGGGGCAGGAAACCAATGGCTTCCTCAATTTCTTGGCTTCTGTCACCACTTTGCCCCTGACTTCCTATTGCACAGCCAAACTGGTGGGGACAACACCACCTCAGTCTCCCCTCTTTGATGTGGTCATACCAGAGGAGTAGAGTTGTCCTTGAGGGGCCAGTTCCTCTGGTATCAGACATGGCCTTCCTGCTGTTGTGGATTTGTTCAGTTGAAGCCCAGTTAAAAACAATTCTGAGACTAAGAGAGCTTTCAGTAATTTCATTCAGACAACTAGAGCTCTCACATGGAAAGAGGTCAAGATTTAAGGGTAGAAATGGATGAACCTGGAAACTATTTTACATTCCCCCCCCCACACACACAAAAAGCCTCCAATCTAGAACGATTTTCAGGCTAAATTAAAGCAGAGACAGCTGCACCTGCTGGAGCAGGTAAAGCGTGATGTAGTGATTCAGGTGGGGGTTCCCGCTGGGGCTCAAGGTACAGTTGGGTGAGTTTTCAGTTATCATTGTGGGTATTTCTTCTGACCATAGAGGTGTACCCTCCCCCCCTCCAATTTTATCATCTCAAACTAATATTTCTCATAAAAAGTTTATAGCCAGGGAACCTGTGTGGCTCAGTTAGATGTCAGACTCTTGGCTTTCAGCTCAAGTCAAGAGATCGAGCCCTGCGTCGGGCTCTACACTTGAGATTCTCTCTCCTTCTGCTCCTCCCTGTTCTCTCAAACAAAATCTTAAAAAAAAAACCAAAAACAAAACACGTTAACGGTCACCTTTACTAGAATGCATTGCCTTACAAAATAAGCAGTTGGTCTCTTCCTCATCAGGAAGTTTACCTGGTCACCTCATGTTCTGTACCAGTTACCTACTGCTGTATGCCAATGGGCCCCTAAATTTAGCAGCTTAAAACCACATTTACGGACTCCTAGTCGCTGGCATCAGCAGTCCAGCTATGCCTTAGCTGGGGGCCTCAGGGTCAGCATCCCTCCCAGGCTACAGTCATCTCAAGGCCTGACTGCAAGATCTGCCTTCAAGCAAGCCTCTACGCCTTGCTGGCTACCCATCAAGGCCACCAGTTCCTTGCCTTGAGTGGGCCTTTCCAGAAGATCACTTGCATGGCAGCTGGCTTCCCTCAGAGCAAGGGACTCCCAAGAAGGAAGCCACATTCCATCATGTCTGCCATCTTCTGTTCATTAGCAGAGTCAATAAGGCCAGCCCACATAAAGGGAGGTAACTGCCTAAGGGCACAAATATCAAGGATCCTCCACATTGCCCTACCTAATTTTATCATCCCTACCATAATTGTGCCCTGCATACGTTTCTATCACAGTAGCCATAATGCTGGGCATGACTTATTTTTGTATCTTTCTCCTTATCCGGACGATAGGCCTCTAAAATAGAGGAACAGAATCTTTCTTGCTTTTTTAATCTGTGCCTGGCACGCATTTTGGCTGGAACAAGTGCTCAAAGATGGACTTGAAGATATTAATGTGAAATTAACTTTATTTTTTAAGATTTCATTTATTTGGGATCCCTGGGTGGCGCAGCGGTTTGGCGCTTGCCTTTGGCCCAGGGCGCGATCCTGGAGACCCCGGATCGAATCCCACATCGGGCTCCCGGTGCATGGAGCCTGCTTCTCCCTCTGCCTGTGTCTCTGCCTCTCTCTCTCTGTGACTATCATAAATAAATAAAAATAAAAAAAAATTAAAAAAAACAAAAAAAAAAGACTTCATTTATTTGAGAGAGAAGGAGTGCATGAGAGAGTGAGAAAGAGAGTGAGCACGAGGGAGGGAGGGAGAGAGAGAGAGAGAGAGAGAGAACGAGTAGGGGGAGGGGTAGAGGAAGAGGGAGAAGCAGGCTCCTCACTGAACGGGACTCTATCCCAGAACCCTGAGATAATGACCTAAGCTGAAGGTAGACCCATAACCAACAGAGCCCCCCAGATGTTCCAATGTGAAATTTACTTTAAGTTGGTTATTCCCTCCTAGAATTCTTTATTATTATTTTTTAAAGATTTCATTTATTTATTCACAAGAGACACAGAGACACAGGCAGAGAGAGAAGCAAGCTGCCTGTGTGGAGCCTGATGAGGGACTCAATCCCAGGATCCTGAGCCAAAGGCAGATGCTCAACCACTGAGCCACCCAGGCGCCCCTAGAATTCATTTCTCATCACTGGATTTCTAGTTTCTAACTGGCCCTGTTTACTTAAATGCACCATTAATTTTATGAGGGAAGTAAAATTGATTTTCTCATTTGCAAAACGCAGTGCTTGGACGAGGTGAGTTCCTGGGTCCTTCATGTTTTAAAGTCTGTCTCAGGAGTAAATCATCTTCTTGAAGGTTAAAGTTTCTCAGACAAAATGATTTGTGTTCCCCTAAATGTGTACAACTGCCCCCACTCTTGAAGGCAACTCTCACTTCTTGCGCTTTCCCAGTGGAAAACAGGCAGAAACTGCGGGCTGATGAGCTGCGGAGAGAGTACCATGAGGAACAAAGGAATGAGTCTGAGAACTTCGTAGAGGAACAAAATGACGGTAAGAACTCTAGCACCAGCATCTTCAAGGAAGTGGGTCTTTGGGGGAAAATCAAAAGTTGCCTCCACTTCTCCCTATATTGTAATTGAAGGCGGGAGGGGTAGGAGAGGCTCCTTCCTCAGTTCACATCTATTGGAGTCTTGAAGGAAGAAAGTCACACAAATGGCTCCTGAACTTGAGAAGGCATGAAGAGGGAGGAAACACCTGGATTTACACAGGCTCGGGGAATTTCTGGCTGATTGTATTTTCTCATTCTCCTTGGGGGATCACGACGGAGGCCTATGTTCTCTGTCTTGGCACCTACACTGGTGACTTAGCTCTGGTTACATGTGGATTGGAAAGATCTCAAACTCACTTTCCCCCCCTGGAACCCGCCCTGGATTCCCATCAACGTGATGGCTCTAGGAACTACTCATTCTGGCCTTTGTTCACCTAATCACTCTAATAATCAGTGTCTTACCTGACTCGTGCAACCAAACCAGGAAACCTGACCTCAGAAAACAACTCACCCACAATGTTGGGCACGCTGTAAGTTTTATATGCTTTGCTTGTGCCCTTACATGACTGGTCTTTCCTAAGCCTGGGCCTTTGCCTCAGTCTCTTGCCAGGCAAACAGCACACATCATTCCCTGCCTCAGCCCTTGGGCAGACAGGACTCCTCCCTCTCTCAGGAAATGCTTATTTCACCAAGTCTTCCGTGGGGCAGCTGGGTGTAGGCAGAGGGAGGTTCTATCTTTGAACCAGTCTCCCTCCCAAGGCATGGGACGGGACTTTGCATCTATAAGTGTTCCCAAGTGTCACCCAGAGCAGAACCCCATAGAAATATCGAATAGGGCTAAGGCTAGTAATCCAGGGTATGTATTTATGTTTATTTCTATTTGGGTCTTTCCTCACACTTCAAGATGGAAATGTTCCCAAGCAAGCTCCTTAATGCCCATGAGCTTGGAGAAAAGGCTACAGCTTAGGTGACCTTTGCTAGAGAGTTGATTTTCATTCATAAGTCATAAGCCTCCTGGCTTGTACGCTCTTGTGGATTTGGGGGGTAACGCTCTCCAAGGGCATTTCTTAGAAACAGGATACAATCACTAGGTACCCAAGGGCTGCAGGCCCCATGCCCACTGCCTCACAAGTGGCACTGGAGCTCTGCAAACAGGTGCTGGGCTTGGATCCTACCAAATCAAGCTTTCTTGGGAACATCCTGGAAAAAACTCCAGGCTGTTGTAACTCAGAGGCAAATATTTCTGTTGGACATTTATTTACCTTTGTGAACAACTTAAGGTGAAGCATTTAAAAAACGAGAATATGGCCTGCAAAAATTCCTTCAGGGTTTTTTGGTTCTTTTAAGTCATCTATTTTGGGCATTTGTAAATGTTTCAGGTCCAAATCCCTAGCATCTGGGTGGAGAATATTCACTGTTTTTGTTCACAATGAACAAAACCTTGGGGTAAGGGGTCAGGCAATTGAGGGATGACCAGCCCTCTACCAAAGGCAGAGGAGACTGCATTTAGGGGCCTCAGGACTTACCCACAAAGATGAAGACTCCACAGGCCAGGCTGTGGGTCTAAGGGCACTGTAGTGACAGAGCTGTTGTCACTGGTTGAACACCTGCTCTGACGGAGGCTATTTGGAACTACCCAACCCTTATACCAGCCTCTTGGGTCTTAAAATTTCCGTGCTTTTGTTTTAAAAACTCAGGCTCAGAAAGGGTGCCTAAATATCCAACCTGCCATAGCTAGTCAGGGATTTGAACCAAGGTATGTTTGCCAGCCTAGAAATGTTCTTATAAATGAAGGATAATCACATGTGTGGAGGTCTTGGGGGAACCTTCTTCAATCCAGGAATTGGTCCCTGCAGATGGACAGAGTGAGGTAAGGAGAGTGTGCCCCACCCCCACTCCCTAGTCTCCCCAGAGCTGGATAAAAGGAGGCAGAGATGGAGCAGGTCCAGCCGACCTGAGAGTAAATGACATGAAATGCATTTCAATTTTCCTCCTTTTCCCTCACGTATGCCCCAGAAAACTGCTGCATGGTAGCCAGGTTGGTGAAATCCTGACCCTTGGGTAGTGCTGAGGCCCCCACATACTCCTCAGTTAGGACACTGGTTTTTCAGTTGGCTATCATGATCTGACAGTGTCACTTATTCTCAGAATAACTGGCAGCAGTTGCAGGTTTGTCCCCACCCCTTAAAAGCAAAAGCTGAGGGATGACCATGGCTAAACAAAAGGACTAGGATTTCCAAAGGAGGAAGTTTAGGCATGTGATCTGGACCAGAGTGACCTTCCTGAGAGCCTGAGCACTCCATCTCAAAAGCCCATCCGTCCATCCAGGACACGGGACCTGTTCTGGGAATGTTGTGGCTCCTGGTTGCTTCTCTACTCAAAATCACCAGTTTTATGAGCCAAAGATGCCGTTAGGCCTTTGAGTTCTGCCTCTGGAAGTGCCAGGATAAATTGTGTTGAGCTCCTACCTCTAAGGTCTGTGTGGGAGCCAAAGTCTGCTTCCACCTTCAGAGCAAGAAGCTTGGGTCAGCCCATCTGGGATTGGTTGCATGACACCTGGCTTGGCTAAAGCTGCTCAGCTGAAAGTGGTCCCCTACAAAAAAGCCATGCTGTTAGCACCTTTACCAGAGATGCCTTCAATTTGTCTAAGTGAAATGGTGTATGAAGAAATTGGCATGATCTGGAGAAAAAAAAAAAATCAACTTCTATGTCAAAATCAGCCTCTTAAGATCGGCAAAGAGTAGCTATGATCTATCTGGCCTGAGAAAGGTCTGATGGGCTTTTGCAAAGCCCAGCTGGGGCCTGATTCTAAGCTCTAGGCTCTTCTGGGCTACTAAGTCCCAAAAGGGATTTCTAAGATCAAGGGTAGCACTGACTCTTAGCTCACACAGGAAGGAAACATACCCAGTGGTAACAAGGGGTCCTTCTTGGTGACGGTATCTGGTCCTCATGGGTGTCTAAGGACCATGGGGACACCCATTTTCTCCAAACCCTGATGCCACCGGGCCACGCTGTTCACCCAATGCCCCAGAGAATGAGGTTCTCAAGTACCAAAGTCAGGTTCACAGGCTTTTTGGTGGTGAAGCCCACACTTAAAAAAGTAAGAGGTAGGCAAGGACAACTTTTGGCGTTCTGAACCCTTAGTATTCTTTTTTCTGTTAAAACTTATCCTTCCAACATTTTCCACAAACACTGAAAAATTGTGGCAAAGAAATCTATGTAAAATTTGCCATCATAACCATGTTTTAAGTGTGCAAGTCAGTGGCATTTGGTACGTTCACACGGTTGTGCAACTAGCAACACTTAGGGATTTCTAGAACCCCTTTCATCACTTCAAAGACCAACTCTGTACCCATTATAATACAGTTAGTTCCTCCTTCCCCCCAGTCTCTGCTAACCTCTAATACATTTTGGTCTCTACCAATTTGTTCTAAGTATTTCATAGAAGTGGAATCACACAGTATGGGTCTTTTGGCATGTTTCACTGATTGCATTTCAAGATTCATTCATGTTGTAGCATGTTATTAGAACTTCATTCCTTTTTATGATTGAATAATACATACGTGTGTGTGTGTGTGTGTGTGTGTGTGTGTAGCTTCTTGTTTATCCATTCATTTGTCTCTATTTTCACTTCTCTTAGTTATATACCTAGGAGTGGAATTGTGAGGTTATGTGGTAATGCTGTTGAACTTTTGAGGAGCCTTATGGTTGCCTTTTTACACACTGAGGGACTTGTAAATCTGCTTGTGCTTTAGTGGTCCCTACCAACAACGGGCAGTGTGGACTTGGCCATCAGGATAGCCTAATTTGACAATTGAACGAAGTTGTAATTCAGAGAACTGATTAAAGGCAGCAAAATCAAGACTTTCTAACTCATTAAATAAGACTCTTTTACTCACTAAAAACTCCCTTCTGTTCTTTTAGCCTTTTACTTTGAAAATTTTCAAATGGCAATGTAGTTCAAAGAACCCCCATATAACCATCACTCAGAATCAACGATTATCAAATTTCCCTCCACTTCATCCACCCCATTTTCTCATTAGTTTTTAAAACATAATTTTCTTTTTAAAGCCTGAGGAAAAAAATTACTTATAACACCATCACTTGAAGTTGATAGTTCTTTCTGTGATTTAGTTTTTCAACCGTAAAGCCTGTCATTTCTTTTCCATGCTGTTTTGTCCTCTTTGCACTTTGTTTCTTAGCTACTTCTCCCTGCTTTGCTGGCTGTGTAGGGGAAAGAGCACAGAATTGGGAAATAGTTCTTGATCTTGGCTCTCCTGGCTACCAGCTCTTTCTCCTGCCTGGCTTGGTCCCCAAAGTGAGGCTTTTGGACTTTCTGTTCTGTGAGGTCTTTCAAGCTCAGATTGTTCTGTCACCAGTACACCCAAGCACAGTGTGTTCATGTCATCACAGGGTAGGCAGTTTGGGTTGATGACTGCTTGGTGGTTCTCCTCAGACCAGAGTCCTCTCCATACTAACACGACTTTACCTCTGCTCCCCAGAACAGGAAGAGAGAAGCCGGGAAGCTATTGAGCAGTGGCGCCAGTGGCATTATGATGGCCTGTACCCATCGTATCTCTATAATCGCCACCACATCTGACCTCATCTTTATTGACCAAGACGATGGAGACTGAGACTCACATACCTACCCCACGTGTTTGAACGACGCTTCCACACAAACAGGCCTCTTTGGAGGGTCTCAACTTGGGGCTTGGTGTGGTAAACACACAAGCCTTTTGCTCTGATTAAGATGCCCCGGCTTTTCTTCTTTGCAGATGATTTTCTGAGGTGAGCAAACATCTGTGGGGCTTCCTAGCACCAAACTAACAGTGACTTCCCCTTACTTGGCCATTGTCTCCCACAGTAAGATTCCTGTCCTGTAGAACAATGAAAAGGATCACAGTAAAAAGAAAAGATGACATGTTTGCTTACAGCTTAGAAATAAATGTGCTGAGTTGACCCTGCGTATTATCTTCTGAAAACTCATCAAACGGAGCCATGCCAACTTGTCTCCCCTAGGGACAAGTTACTCTGACTTAGGCATTGAAAGCCTGAACTCAAGGAGTATGGCTCATGATTCTTCTCTGTGTCACCAAGTCACATAAGCACAACAGAAATGTTCACACAATTGTTTAGATTAAGACCATTCTCTGGGAGTTACTGGGCCCAGATGCTTCCCCATGTCTCTGACATGTTGAGGTTCAACTGCGGTTCCTTAACAGCATCAAATCAGAAGCCAGGGTTACCGCAAGGCCAACTGTAACCAAAACAATAAAGCAGAAGAAATGTAGGCTTGGTATTAGGTACTTCAGTTTCCCTCCTACTGCCTGCACACCTTAGCTTAAGGCTGCTATAACACTGCATAACAAACCCAGTGGCTTCACACAGTATAAAATGTATTCTCTTACAGTTCTGGAGGCTAGAAGTCCAAATTCAAGGCGTCAGCACAGCCACATGCCCTCTCTCTCTCTAGGGGAGGATCCTGCCTTGCCTCCTGCAGCTTCTGGTGGCTGCAGGACTCCTTGGCTGTTGGCAGCGTCACTCCAATCTCCATGTCTGTTGTCACAGGACCTTTCCCTTTGTGTTCTCTTCCCTCTGTGTTTCTCTATCTCTTCTCAATATCATTTCAAAGTGAACTCTACACCCAACATAGGCCTCGAACTCACAAATTCGAGATCAAGAGTTGCATGCTCTACCTTTTTGTAAGGACAGAAGTCATACTGAATAAAGGGGTGGGGGAGGATGCAACCAGCTTCTTACAGTGATCCTTTCTTCTCTCCAAACCACTTTGCTTCCAGCCCCAGACTCACCAACTATCCTACTTTATCCTTGCTCTCAACTACCGTCAGCAATTCTACACTAAGAATGCAGAACGATCAAGAACAATTATAGCAGGCACCTCTGTGGGGTCATAGTATATTAGAAAATACAGAGGACTCTAAATGAAGCATTCTCTTTTAGCCATCTCCCTGCCCCTACCCCAGGGTCCTTTGCTTCCCCTGAGACTTGGGTCCCTGGCCAGCCAGTCCACCCTGCTTCTGAGGTTGGGATCTCAGGGCAGTATAGAGGGACTTTGCTTTAAGGAAAAGCCACTCAGCTGTGGTAAAATACTTCTTCACCAGGGATGGGATGATTTATCAGAGCAGGACATTTTGTACCAAATGCATGTATTTTAAAGTAATCTTTATTAAAAAATTTTTTTTTTATTTGAGACAGGGGAGAGAGCATAGAGGTAGAGGGAGAAGCAAACTCCCCACTAAGTAGAGTCCAATGGGCTCGATCCCAGGACCCTGAGATCATGACCTGAGCCAAAGGCAGAATACTGAGCCACCCAGGTGCCCCTAAGTAATCTTTTAAAAGGCTGATAAAACCTAGCGATTAAGCAAACATGCATATCCAAAAATCACTTCATCTATAGTTAGCACTCTATTTTCTCTCACAAATTCCAAGCAGGAGCTGAACTGGCCTCGGGGAGTTAACAGTGGCACAGGGTACACTCTATCATTAAACGCTGTCACCTGGACAGGTGGAATGGAGGGGCCCTTCTCTTCTCAGGAGTCCTGGGATTCATACTTTGGAGATTCAGGCTTGGGGCACAAGTCCCTGCACAAAAGCCAAAGCAGTGCCCAATTTTTCAGTGGCATGACGCACTTGTGTTGAATGTGCCTTAACCATGATGACTAGTAGCTGAGCCTCTGGAATACTCTGATTATGCTCCACAGTGTGTATGCTAAAGCTGTGCTACCAACATACGCCTTCGCTGTCTGTGGGTATCTAAGTTGGATCAAACTAGAATGCTTCCAAAAGGGAACCAGGAGAATAAGGAAAACTTCCCTCAGAATTGGAGATGCAGAGAAAGGCAGAGGGAGAAGCAGCTCCCTGCCGGGAGTCCACTGTGGGACTCGATCCCAGGACTGAGATCACGACCTGAGCCGAAGGCAGACACTCAACCACTGAGCCACCCAGGCGTCCCTGAAAGCTCCCTCTTTCTAACAAGATCTAACAAGAGTATCTGCCTTGACCACGTAGCCCATTATTATATTGTCACAGGCATGTTCCTTGCTTCTTTCCATAAACAAGGAGATCATAATTGAATCAGGTCCTTTTACCGTAAACCTTCTCACGGTGCAGCTGGTATGGCTCTCTGCAGTGTAAGCACACTTCTTTGGGAGGCAAGGGATAGGGGGTGCTCAGGTAATTGTCTGGGCTCCTAAGTTATCTCTCAATAAGCCCATTTTGTATTTTCATCACATGGCCTGAGTGTGTGTGTATGTGTGTGTGTGTGTGGAGGGTGTTTGTGTGTGTCTTTGCTCCCTTTGCACGTCGGTGAAAATGCCACTTTACTTACCCATGCCTCTATTAATAAGACAAACCTCTGGAAATGAAATGATGGGTCAGGACTTATACACGTTAAACTGGATAAATCAGGTTTCTCTTCAAAGACATTCTATGCGCTGTCACTGTACACATCTGCCAATCCTTTCCTATACCAATTAGACTGAGAATATTGGGGGAAAGGCTAGGACGGGGGAACTCTTTCAGGATATGCAATCCATGGTGTTTCCTCAGACAGCAAACGTCCCCTTCAGGTCTAGCCTCCAAATCACACCCATGTATAGCAGCCATACATTTCGACCAACAACCCCAAAGCCTCAATGGAAGGACCGGCAGCCTTAAATGAGAAACTTTGCAGATGGCTCAATATTTTATTACTATTTTTACTTATTACCTGATGAGACAAATTACTTGAGAAGGGAGAGTTCAAAGTTTCAAAACATAAATCTCAACAGAAAGGAATGGAGTTTGCCTGCTGTTAGCCACCTCCCAGCTCTGATCTCAACTGGAGACATTCATCAGCTTGTGTAGAAAAAAAGGTCAGAGAGGTTCCTCTCTGAACTGTTGGGCAGGAGATGCATGCGTGGGCTCCCATCTGCTTCCTACTGCACCCCTGACTGGCAGACCAGATCCCTGCCTCTGTCTTGCTCTAGCGGGTGGGGCTCCTCATTGTAGTGCCTAATCCCACACCTAGATGAGAAATTCTCGCTGAGAGGCATGTAGGAGCAACACATCCCTGTCCTTAGCTGGGTTACTAAATGAGAGAAGACCTGGTGAGTCAACCAACTAGGGCTGGTAGTTGGGCACAAGCACTGCAAGCTGAGCTGACGGCTCGCTCTGATCCCGAGGCCAGTCCGCAGGCTGCTGGGTCAGGGATACAGGTGTAAGTACCTTGTACTTTACATCAACCACATGGAACTGAAACAGTCTTCTTGGTTGGCCAGATCCAGTCTCTGAGCCGTTCGGTTGGTAACCCTAATTGACAAGGGGGAATGTGTGTGTTTACACATCCAAGTTATGTAAACAAAAAGCAAAGCACTGCTCTCCACCTTAGCCATGAAAATGGAGGAGTCACATTTTGCGTCCTACTGGTGATAACACATCTAAATGCCTTCTGATAAAAGGGCCAGCAACTAGGTAGAGGGCAGCTGATGGATTCAGACCCACAGCCACCCACACCAGCAGGAAGGAATGCTCAGGCCATACTGATGTCAAGAATCCAGGACAGTGGGGCTGAATAATCAGTTTAAGACAATAAAACTGGTCTGTCTTTGCCTCTTCAATGGCTATGCTTGGCACGTTGGCCCCTGATAAAGAACTCTGGCAAAAAAAAAAAAAAAAAAGCAATTACCTCATTTTACCCCCATCCTTAACAAGGACCCCATTATACCTCAGTATTTTCAAATTCCATCCAGAATTCCTTCACTGAAAACCAATCAGTCATTTTTCCTGGGTAGGGACAAACATGCCAAAGGTAACACGAGCGGGAATCTGGGCACCCACATTTACTAGGAAATCAGTAATGAAGCAATTTATACTTTATTAGGGACTGGCCTTGTCAAAAGTGTGGCCTTTTGGACTCCTCTGTTCTTTCATTACTCTCCCCTAGTCCTATAGGGATTCCAGGTAAGTGGTTAAAAACAAATTTGTTGAAGGATGAATTGGCAAAAACTCATTATTTTTATTTATTTATTTTATTACTTTTTAAGATTTTATCTATTTTTAAGTAACCTTTATACTCAATGTGGGGCTTAAACTCACAACCCCAAGGCCAAGAGTTGCATGCTCCACTGAGGCAAGCCTGGTGCCTTCAAAACTCATTATTTTAAATGTTTTTTAAGAGAAAGAGTGTGTGCAAGGGGGAGGGGCAGGGAGAGGGACAGAGGGAGAGGGAGAATCCTAAGCAGGCTCCATGCCCAGCACAGAGCCTAAGGCAGGCTTGATCTCACAACCCTGAGATCATGACCTGAGCTGAAATCATGAATCAATGTGTAACTGACTGAGCCACCCAGGCGCCCCAGTACAACTCCTTTAGAAAAATATTTTGGCAGTTTCTTTCTTTCCTTTTTTAAAAAGATTGTATTTATTCATTTGAGGGGTGGAGGGAAAGGGCACAGGGAGAAGGAGAAGCAGATTCCCCACTGAGCAGGGAACCTGATGCAGGGCTTGATCCCAGGACCCCAGGACCATGACCTGAGCTGAAGTCAGATGCTTAACCAATTGAGCCACCCTGGTTTAGCAGCTTTTTTTTTAAAAAAAGCTAAACATACACTTACCATTTGACCTGGAAATCTCATCCCTAGATATTTAACCTGAGAGACAAAAACACATAAGCAAAGAAAGACTTCTACCTGAATATTGGTAGAGGCTTTATTCATAGTGGCCCCAAACTGGAAATACTCTAACTCAGATGTCTATCAACAGGTGAATAAATAAATTGTGGGGCATATCCATCCAGCACAATACTCAGCAATAAAAAAACAATGAATTACTGATCTATGCACTTACACGGATGCATTTTGAAATACACTGAATGAAGGAAGCCAAATACAAGGGGGTGTTCTGCAGGATTCTATTTAAGTGAGGCTCAAAAGGCAGGTTGAAACTTCAGGGATAGAAAGCGGATCTGTGATGGGGGTGGAAGACAGGGAAATGCAAAAGCTGCTGATGGGATGGAAATGTCCTACATCTTGCTTGTGGTGGTGCTTACCTGGGTGTCTGTATTCATCAAAACTTAATGAATCATACACTTAAAATGTGTGCCTTTACTATGTGAAATTTAGGCCTTACTAAAGCTGATTAAGAAAAAGACCAATATTTGCTTGCTTCGGCAGCAGAGATACTAAAACTGGAAAGAAAGATACCAAAAGAGAAGTCTTGGCTCAAGCAATATTACCACAGCCTTTGTTCCAATCTGAGTTTCAACTCACGTTTTCGAATCCCTTAAATCAATTTCCTAATTCTGCAAAAAGGAGACACACTCAATCTGGTCTTGTTTTGGAAAAAAATCATACAGTTGCTTATTATTCGTGGATTCCCTTAATTGCTAAAGTTTATTAATAACCCCAAAATCATTACTTGTGGGGTCTTTCTGGTCATCTATGTATGTGCAGAGCAATGAAAAATATGAGTTACACAATGCACACACTCCCAGCTGGTGTCAAACTGACATTCTTGCTCATTTCAGCCCTGATACTGTAAGCAAATGTCCTTTTTTGTCATGTTTTTCACATTTTTGTGCTTTTTGTGGATGATCTTGCTGTTCAAAATGGCCCTGAGCATAATGGTTTAAGTGTTATCTAGTGTTCTTCAGTACAGGAAGGTTGTGTGGTGTGCCATGTGGAGAAGATATATGTGCTAAGATCAGCTTCATTCAGTCATGATTTATAGTGCTGCTTTCTCTGAGCTCCACATTAATGTACCAACAATATTTACTTAAAATGGTGTCTAAACAGAAACACACATAAAACAAGGTTACAAAATGTAAGACAAAATGTAAGTCTGTGTGGTCTAACCTGTGTAGGGCACAGCAGGGCTCATTCTCATTTTGATCTATACAGTTTGGCATTGTGCCTATACTGTCAACTTTTTTTTTTTTAAGGTTTATTTATTTGACTGGAAGGTGAGCAAGAGGGAGAGTGAGAGAGGGAGAAAAAGCATCCTTAAGCAGACTCCCAGCCCAGTATGGAGCCTGATTCCGGCCTTGATCCTAGGACCCCAAGATCATGCATGACCTGAGCCAAAATCAAGAGCCAGGGACAGCCCCGGTGGCGCAGCGGTCTAGCGCCACCTGCAGCCCGGGGTGTGATCCTGGAGACCGGGGATCAAGTCCCACATCAGGCTTCCTGCATGGAGCCTGCTTCTCCCTCTGCCTGTGTCTGCCTCTGCCGCTCTCTCCCTCTCTCTGAATAAATTAAAAAAAAAAAAAAACAAACAAACTTTGGGCAGCCCTGGTGGCTCAGCGGTTTAGCACTGCCTTCAGTCCAGGGCGTGATCCTGGGGACCTGGGATCGAGTTCCACGTCGGGCTCCCTGAATGGAGCCTGTTTCTCCCTCTGCCTGTGTCTGTGCCTCTCTCTGTGTCTCATGAATAAATAAATAAAATATATTGTTTCCAAACATCTACCCATGGGATCAGATGTCTATTTTACCTGTCAAGGACAGCTCTGATGTGCTTCTATGAGTGACACACTTAGGCAAACAGATTTACTCTCCTGACTTTTAAAAATCCACGTTCTCAGGCACATTTAATCTGCTATACACATCAAGCTTCACTTGCATCCTCATCCACTTTTACATAAAAATCCAATTCATGTTATCTCTTCCTGTCAACTTTGCTAAAAAGTTTTTGTTTGCTAATTTAGATCACTGTGTACTTCCTCTGTTTGGATGGACTATGATCACATAATAAACCCTACATTGCCAATGACAGGGTAAGGAAAAATTAAACACATGTTTGGACTTATATAAGCATTTAATACATTGATAAACAGAATAGTATTAAAAGACTGATCTCACTGATGAATCATAATTTCAATCCAAACAAGTAAGTTCCCCTTCTGGCCCTCCGCCCCTTCTCATCGTTGAGTACTCTATGAGACCTCCAATGAAAGCCCCCCCAACATCTAGAGTAACTGAGAATTTGATGATTTTTTAAATTATTATAGAACCTTATAATACTTATTTATGATATACAAGTGAACGGGGACTCTTATGGCGCCCTTGGGTCCAACAGGAACGTGTACGTTTCTTTCATATGAATGGGATTGCTGGCGTTCAAGTCCTTGTCAGGCATTTCTTCACATACATTGTTCTAATTTAAGTTTAAGGCATAAACTAACTGAGCCATTAAAAATATCACAGTTTCAAGTGCCTTTGGTCCTTATTAAGAATCAAACACTTTAAAAAAAAAAAAAGAATCAAACACTTTATTCTTTTCTTCATTAGTTAAAAATTAAAACAAACAGCTCCTGGGAAGTGAAATACTCCTAAAAATATACCTTTTACAATATAACCCTAGGAGGAATGCAAAGGGTCAGACACAGCACCTTCTACTCCTATTGAGCAGAATTTGATGAAATCTAAGGCATGTATAATGTTTTCTGGCTCTTGAAAATCTACAAACATTTCCCACAATGAGCTCCTGTAAGCATTATGCCCTACCATAATACCATCATGGGGGAAACCTGATCTATTTCTAGATAGAATTTAAAATCCCAATATAATAATCTTACCAATTTACTCGATCTTTGGATGGTATCAGCATTCACTTGGAAAAGCAGGTTGCCCAGGTGTAGGAATCTCCTAAACAGCATTTTTTTTGGGTGCTACTTTGAACAAGGTTTGACCTTATAATTCTTGATGTGTATGATAAAATATATCTGCAAATCTCAAACTCCCTGTCTTTCAGAGATGTTTCTGTTTTTCTTTTTTTCAAGATTTTATTTATTATTCATAAGTGACATAGAGAAGCAGAGACATAGGCAGAGGGAGAAGCAGGCTCCCTGCAGGGAGACTGATGCAGGACTTGATTCCAGGACCCCGGGATCATGACCTGAGCCAAAGGCAGAAGACACTCAATCACTGAGCCACCCAGGTGCCCTGTTTTTGTTTTTCAATCATTGTTCACACCTTCTTAAACTCTGCATTCATTTTGGTTAGAGGTTTTGAAGTTTCTTTAAGCCACATTTAAACAAAGCTGTGTACTTTAAAATGATGAGAGTTTAGGTGTTTCTATTAAAGAGCTCCACAATATTGTAAAGGCACAAACCATATAAATATGAATTAAATGCCACATGAGGCAGTGAATTATTATATTTGAAAAGCAAAAGTAAGGTAAGAATGGAATTGAGAGAAGGAACCTGGCTTTGATGTCAATATATCAAGATTATATCAAGGTTGATGAATATAATTATCCATATGGGAAAAGTTGTATTATTTGCAGAATTTGAGTGCTGAAAAGTACACTTCAACATCATTTACTCCAAGCCTCCTCATTTTCTAGGTAAGAAAACAGAAGCCTAGAAGTTACACAATCTATCCAGGGTGAGCTAAATTAATTCTTTTACTTTTGTGTGCCCATATAAATACGAGAACTTTACTCTGATCAAGAAGCAACGCTACACATTATATAACCCAAGACATACAGCAACACAGCTCTCAATTTACCTTTCAGTTTCTGAGCAAAAAATCTGCACAAATGCAGCCATCAGTAGCAAGAACACGGGAGAAAACAGTAATTTGATTCATCACTTAAAGATCATTGTTATTTTCTGTTTTGTTGCTTTGATACCAAATTTAAGTATGGAAAACATGTAGGTTTAACAAGTACTTGTTTGGACTGTGTGAATCAGGAAAATGAGCAATATGGAGCCAATACCCTTGCTTTTCCAGAGCTGTAAGAAACAATGTAGGTCGTGGGTACCTGTTTGAAGTCAGGGCTATTTAAGGCTATTCAGAAATTTGGCATGTTCTTCTCCTCTTGGTAATAGGGTTTCTCCTCCTATCTTTGGGCCTGTTTTTTCCTAGAAAAATGAAAATAGTTTAGTGAGAAATGGATCAACATTATTTGCATAGATCACTAAAACTGGTTACCTTGCAAATGACCTACCTTCAGCATTCCATCTCGTTCCCACTTGAAGAGGCCACAGTTACTGAAACAGAACAGATGAGATTCACTCAATGGTGAAGTATGGGCTGATACTTAAAAACAACTGGGTTCACTGCACTTGTAGGAAGAGAACCTGCCATCCAAACAAAAGATAAGGTAACACTCATATTACAGGTTACGTTCTAATGCTACTGAAAATACAGAGTCCAATGATTTGAGAGATAGTCTTCAGATCTTTTGTAAAAAGCTAGATACTTCAAAGATGGAATATGAAATCATAGTGTAACAGGGTATGCACATGGCAGGTGATAAACACAAGAGTGGCTTCTACTGATGGGCATCAGGAAGAGACATAGAATATGAAGCTAGCCCTCTGACGCCATGTAGTTATGGCTTCCCCCGTTCCCCTTTTCTGGAACTAAAAGCTTGTGATAAGAGAAGTTTAATCTTCCTTCTGATCTGCCCAATCCTTCCCCCCTTTTCAAACTTAAAGATGTTTACTCTCCTATTGTTCAGAGGGCCTAGAGACTTTTGTTCAAGATGAGTCCAACCCTGAGAAGAGATATGGCTACTACACAGAAAGCTTATTTTTCCACAACGTTCACTCTGCTGAAATAAAGCTACCTGCTTATGAACATAAAGTTTTATTTGAACACAGCCATGTCCGTTTGTTTTTGTATTACCTACGTCGCTTTTGAGGTCTAACACAAGCTGGGTAATCATGAAACAGACCACCTGGTTTATGAAGCATAATATATTTGCTATCTGGGCTTTGACAGAAAAAGTTTGCCTTGTTCAGTTTTAGATCAAGAATTGACAAGAAAAAGTCTAGAAAAGCAGTTGTGACAAAAATAATAGCACTGCCTGGAGGATGAAAAAGCATCTTGCTCTTCCCTTTGTGAATTGTACTTATTACTTATTCATGGAATTTTTCTGATACTCAATTTTATAGAAGCTCTTGCTGTTAAAATATTTCGGAGAAGTATCAATATACAAAAAAAAAAGTATCAATATACAGAGAGATACTTTGAAAAATTATAATCCAGATTGTAACAATTTCACAAACCAACTCCTGACAAGGTAATGAACTAGCATGGGGTCTGGGGCTCCTCAATCCCAATCAGCCCTGGAGAAACTTGGGAGTGAAGTATGAGTTCCAGGAAGTAAACAAAACACAAAATACAAGCAAGTAGGAGGTGACACTATCCTGGAGAGACATTCTTGGGAAGCCTAAGGAGATCTTGAAATTGCCTAAGACTCATTATCATATTTGATCCTTTAAGAATTAGTCAATAAAGTAAAAAAAAAAAGTAAAAATCAATCCCATATATTTGAAAATTAAACAGTATTACTAACTCTTAGATGAAACAGGAAGTCATCAAAGGCATTAAAAAATACTTAAAAAAAATTTTATTTAGGTAAACTCTATACCCAATGTGAGGCCTGAACTCACAACCCCGAGGTTGCAAGCTCCTCTGACTGAGCCAGCCAGGTCCCCCAAGAAATACTTTTTAACTACAGGCCAAATGTAATGGGAAACACTGAAGCAGGACTCCTTAGAGGGAAACATGTAGCTTTAAACACATTGATGAGGGAACAAGAAAAGTTAAAAACTAGTAAGCGGAGTGTAAGCAATTAGCTGAAGTTGTCAAAAGGATACAGAGAAAACCCAAAGAAACAAGGAGGACAGAAAGATAAAGGCAGAAATCAGTAAAACAGAAAGAAAATCAATAAATATGAAGAAAGCTAAAAGATGGTTTTCTGAAAAGAGAAACAGAATAACAAGACTTATGTCAAAGCTGATCATAAACAAGAGAAGAGATATAATAGCACAAAACACAGTATAGTAAGTGCCTATTAATAGAAAGGGGTAAGAGTGGGATCCCTGGGTGGCGCGGCGGTTTGGCGCCTGCCTTTGGCCCAGGGCGCGATCCTGGAGACCCGGGATTGAATCCCACGTCGGGCTCCCGGTGCATGGAGCCTGCTTCTCCCTCTGCCTGTGTCTCTGCCTCCCTCTCTCTCTGTGTGTGACTATCATAAATAAATAAAAAAATAAAAAAAAAATTTAAAAAGGGGTAAGAGTTTAAAAACAATGAAAATTTATTAGGAACCACCATATGTTAATATATTTGAAAACCTAAATAAGATGAATTTAAAAAAAAAGCTGAAGCTGAAATTGGCAGAAGAGACCATGAAATTGAAATGGTAATCAAGCTACTCCTGGACCCCAAACCCAGGCCTGGAACTAAATAATTTTACAGTTGAAAACAGGTCTAACTCACTTATACAAGTGGACCCTTGAAGAAGATGAGAGAGAGTAGGGGTACTGGCCTCTGCGCAGTTGAAAATCCGCATGTATCTTTGGACTCCCCCCACAACTTAACTACTAATAGCCTACTGCTGACCAAAGCCTTACTGATAATGGTCAATTAACACATATTTCTACAATAAAGTCAGCTAGAGAAAAGAACATGTTATTAAGAAAATCCTGGGCAGCCCAGGTGGCTCAGTGGTTTAGCACCACCTTCAGCCCATGGCATGATCCTGGAGTCCCGGGATCGAGTCCCACGTCGGGCTCCCTGCATGGAGCCTGCTTCTCCCTCCTCCTGTGTCTCTGCGCCTCTCTCTCTCTCTCTCTCTCTCCCCCTGCATGGAGCCTGCTTCTCCCTCTCTCTCTATGTCTCTCATGAATAAATAAATAATCTTTAAAAAGAAAGAAAAAAGAAAAAAAATCCAAAGAGAAAATACATTTAGGTACTGTACCATAGTTATTGAAAAAAATCTGCATATAAGTGGAGCTAGGCAATTGAATCCTTCATAAAATATTAGCTAATTGAATATAACTGCATACTAAAATAAGAAATCCTTGACATAACCCCCAAACCACTAATAATCCAATCAAAATGGGCAGAAGATATGCATAGACCTTTTTCTAATGACACACAGTTGACCAACAGACACATGAAAAGATGCTCAACATCACTGATTATTAGGGAAATGCAATTCAAAACCACGAGATATCACCTCACACCTGTCAGAATGGCTAGAATCAAAAAGACAAGAAATAACAAGTGTTGGTGAGGATATGGTGCTCTGCACACTGCTGCAGCCACTGTGGAGAACATATGGAAGGTCCTAAAAAAATAAAATACAGACCTACCCTATGATCTAGTAATCCCACTACTGGATTTACCTAAAGAAAATGAAAACACTAATTTGAAAAGATATGTGCAGCCCTGTTTACTGCAGCATTATTTACTAATCAAATTATGGAAACATATACCTACCTACTCACACACATACAATGCAGTATTACTCAGCCATAGAGAGGACTAAGATTGTACCATTTACAACAACATGGATGGATTCAGAGGGTATAATGGTAAGTAAAATAAGTCAGAGAAAATTTAAGAAACAAAACAAATGGACAAAGAAAAAAAGAGACAAAAAAAAAAAAAAAACCAAACACCAGACTCTTAAATACAGAGAACTGGTGGTTGCTAGAGGAGAGGTCAGCGGTGAGATGAGTGGAATGGATAAATAGAATTTCAGATTAAAAAAAAAAAAACATCAGGTAGGGTTTTTTTTTAAATGCTGACTTTTTAAAAAAAATAAACCTTTAAGATTTATTTATTTATTTATGATAGACAGAGAGAGAGAGAGAGGCAGAGACACAGGAGGAGGGAGAAGCAGGCTCCATGCCGGAGCCGACGTGGGACTGGATCCCGGGACTCCAGGATCGTGTCCTGGGCCAAAGGCAGGCGCTAAACTGCTGAGCCACCCAGGGATCCCCTCAGGTAGGGTTTACGCAAAGAATGAAAGGATACTTCACAAGGTGATGTGATCATCAAAAGGGGAGCTATTCCTTTTTCTTCTCCCCTTTGATTTACAAGTAATTGGACAACTAAAAAAAAAAAAAAATGTACTTGAGCACAGCATACCAGGTTATCAGGGGTGAACTGGAGCAGGAAAAGCAGAGAAGGAGGGGAGTGGTCATAGAGATGGCAGGTCAGCAACACCCTTCTGGTAGGAGGTGGAGAGTGAAGGTGCTAAGTGGGGGTCCGCCACCATCCAGCAGCTTCCTCAGCTGGAGATACTGCAGGGAAGTGTCTCCTCCTGCCTGCCCAGGGATTCAGGCCCATGTACTTCTGGGCTCACTCAAAGTCCAGAGTGCTAAGTACATACCTCCCCTTAGTTGGCCACAGCCCCCCACTCTATTTTTATTTACTTTTTTAGTGCACTCTGCCAAGAGAAACAAAAAAACACATGCTATGGTGCCACCTTCTGGAAAACAAAAGAAAGGCTCCTAATTACCAAGGGGTTGAATGTTCAGAATCAAAGTGAACAAAACTTTGCCTAAGTAAGAAAAGGGCTCATTACATCAAATGTGATGGCAGAGACACTCTTCCTCAGACAGCATGACAAATCACAGTAATTTAGTATTAAAAATAAAAACAATAACAACCCGACAATTTTCCAGCAAAAGAGTCCAAAGAACATTCTGATCTAACTGATAAAGATTTGAAAGAGCTTTTATGAAGAAATTCAGCAAGCTACAAGGAAACTTAGAAAGACCTTGGAAATAAAATTAATGAACAGAAGAACTTCACAGAAGAAATTCTAAAAAAGAACTAAACAAATTCTGGAGTGGAAGAACTAAGTAAGATGGAGAATGCAAAAGAATGCATTGGAAATATAGCAAATCAGATGGAAAAGAGAATGCGTGAGCTAGAAGACCGAAACCTAAAAATTTATGATGCAGATGGGAGAGGTGAGAGAACGAAGATTTTAAAAAAGAAATGAAGTCCTCTGAGATTCCATGTAGAAAATAGATTTCACTGGAAAAGCTCAAGTAAGAATGATGGGTATTCCAGGAGGAGAAGAGAGGAGGACATGAACAGAGAGATTTTTAATGAAATAATAGTTGAGAATGCCTTAAACCTGGATACACAAAGTCTGTGAAGCTAGTTGAACACCTTCTTATCTCAATTCAAGAAGATCTCTCCAAGACAACTGTATCAAAACTGTCAAAAGTCAATGATAGAGAAAAAAATTTAAAGGCAACAGGGGGCGGGGTGGGGTGGAGGTAGAAACCTACAAAGGATTAGGCTCTCAGATTTCTCAGCAGAAACTCTACAGGCCAGGAAAGAGTGGAATGACATGAAAAATATTCAAAGATTAAAAACTGCCAGCCAAGAATACTCTATTCTGCAAAATTATCCTAAAGGAGATAAAGGAAGGAGAAATCAGGACTTTCCTAGACAGACAAAAACTGAAGAGTTCATCACCACTAGACCTGCCTCATAATAAGAAACACAGAAAGGAGCTCTTCAAGCTGAAACAGACAGAAATACATGAAACTCTGATTAAAGTGATAAATGGTCAGAATCAGAAAATTAAGTTTTTTCTGGAATATTATATTAAACTCTTAATTATGGTATAAAGGTTAAAGCAAAACAGCATTAAAAAGAACTATGGCTACTCCTTGGTGATGACATCACAGCACAAAGGAAATAATTTATGACATAAAATATAAAAGGAAGAGAAAAAGGACATAAATTTTATAGGTGAAGATAAATTGCTGACAGCAGAGAAAGAAGTATTTTACTGAAGAGATGTTTTATGGAAACCTCATGGTCACCACAAAGCAAAGATCTAGAGCAGAGACACAAAACATAAAAGACGAGAGACTAAGCAAATCACCACGGAAAACTACTAACTTAAAAAGCAAGCAGAAATGGGAAAAAGAAACAATGTGGAGACCAAAAAATGAAGAAGAAGAAGAAGAAGAAGAAGAAGAAGAAGAAGAAGAAGAAGAAGAAGAAGAAGAAAGAAGAAAGAAGAAGAAAAGAGTAGTAAATCCTGACCTATCAATAATCACCCAAGAGTTAAATGGATTGAATCCATCAGTCAAAAGGCACAGAATGGCTAGATGGAAAGAAAGCGACCCAATCATATGCTGCCTACAGGGGTCACATCTCAGCTCTAACACACAGGCGCAAAGTGAAAGGATGGAATACGTTATCTCTGGCAAATGGAATCCAAAAGAAGGCAAATAGAGCCATCCTTACATCAGACAAAAATAGACTTCAAGCCGAAAAGAGACAAAAAGGTCATTATGTCACGATAAAGGGGTCAATCAATACATCAGGAAGACAGAATGATTGTAAATCTGTATGCTCCAACACCCGAGCACCGAGACATATTAACAAATACCAACAGATCTTAGGGGAGAAACAGATAACAATACAGTAATAGTAGGGGACTTCAGTACCCCAGTATTGTGATGGATAGATTGCCCAGAAAGAAAATCAACAAGGAAACATGGAAATTGGTGTACACTTTAAAACAAATGGATTTCACAGACATATACAGAACACCCATCCAACAGCAGTGAACATGCACTCTTCTCAAGTGCAGGTAGCATATCCAGAGTAGATCACAAGACAGGCACAATACTAATCTTAGCAACTAAGAAACCTTAAATCATACAGCTGTGTTCTCTGACCACAATGGTATGAAAGTAGAAATCAACAAGAGGAAAGTGAGAAGATCTACAAATATGTTGAAATTTAACAACACATATCTAAGCAGCCACTGGGTTAAAATAAAAAATTATCTTGAAACAAATGAAAATGGAAATACAGCAAATCAAATATTGTGGGATGCAGCAAAAGAAGTTCTAAAAGGAAAGTCTACAGCAGTGAGTGCATATATTAACAAATTAGACACATCTCAAATAATCTAATTTTATACCTCAAGGAACTAGGAAAAAAAAAAACCAACTAAGCCCAAATTTAGCAGAAGGAAGGAAATAATAAAGATCAAAATTCTCGATAAAACATTAGTGAATCAAATTCAAGAACACATTAAAAGGATTATACACCATGACCAAGTAGGACTTATCCCTGGGATGCAAGGATGGTTCAACATACACAAATCAACAAATTTATTTTTCTTTCAAGTCAACAAATTTAATCCATCACAATGAAAGATAAAAATTATACAATCATCTTGATAGATACAGAGAAAGCATTTCACAAAATACAACACCCTTTCATAATAAAAATCTTAACAGATTGGGTATAGAAGGAACATACCTCAACATAATAAAAGTCACATATGACAAACTCAGAACTAACATTACATACTCAAGGGGATAAAATAAAAGCATATCCTGTAAGATCTGGAACAAGACAAGGATGCACACTCTCACCATTCCTATTCAGTATAGTACTGGAAATCTTTGCTAGAGCTAGAGCAATTAGGTAAGACAAAGAAATAAAAAGTATCCAAATTGGAAAGGAACAAGTAAAATTGTCACTATTCGCTGATGACATATCTTATATGTAGAAAATCCCAGAGTCAGTCCCAAAAAAAAACACTGGAGTTAATTAACAATATCAATAGAGCAGCAGGATATAAAATCAACACACAGGGCAGCCCCGGTGGCTCAGCGGTTTAGCGCTGTCTTTGGCCCAGGGGTGGATCCCAGAGACCCGGGATTGAGTCCCACATCCAGCTCCCTGCATGGAGCCTGCTTCTCCCCCTGCCTGTGTCTCTGCCTCTCTCTCTCATGAATAAATAAATAAAATCTTAAATAAATAAATAAATAAATAAATAAATAAACAAACAAACAAACAAACACACAGAGATCAATTGCCTTCCTTTACACTCAGGATATACTCAAAAACAATAAAAGGCTTAGTAACAAATTTAACCAAGGAAGTGAATGGAAATCTACGAGACTTTCCTGAAAGAAACTGAAGACACAAATGAATGGGAAGACAACCCAGAGTTCATTGATCTGCAAAAATTAATATTGTTATAATGGCCAAACTACCCAAAGGAATCTGCAGACATTCAATGTAATCCCTATCAAAATACTAAAGGCATTCTTCAAAGAGAGAGACAGAAGAACAAATGAACGCAAACTCTAAAAATTGTGCAGACCCAAGGAAGATCCTTAATAGTCAAAGTAATGCTGAGAAAAAAGAACAAAGCTGGAGACATCATGCTTCCAGATTTCACATTATACTACAAAGCTATAGTAATAAAAACAGTATGATACCGGCACAAAAATAGATATACTGACCAGTAAAACAGAAGGCCCAGATTTAAATCCCAGTATATATGGTCAACTAATATTTCAACTGCTATTCAACATAGGAGCCAAGAATATCCAATGGGGAAAGGACAGTCTCTTCAACCAGCAGTGCTGGGAAAATTGGAGAAACACACTCAGAACAAGGAAATTGGACCATTATCTCACATCCCTCACAAAAATTAACTTGAAATGGATGGAACACTTAAATGTAAGATCTGAAACTATAAAACTCTTAAAAGAAAATGTAGGGGAAAAGCTCATCAATATTGGTTTTGGCACTGATTTTTTGAACACGATGCCAAAAGCTCAAGGAACAAAAGCACAAAATCAACAAATGGGCCCACATCAAAACTCAAAAGCTTCTGCACAGCAAAATTAACAAGTAACAGAATGAAAAAACAACTTATAGAACAGGAGAAAATGTTTGCCAGTCATCTATCAGATGAGGGGTTAATATGCAAAATACATAAAGAAATCAGTAACAACACACTGATAAGCTAAAGGATAAGATCATAAAATGAAAAAAAGATACCTACTCACAATCTTGGTAAACTGGAAATAACAAGAACTTTCCTTAAGTTGGTAAAGGCTACCCTTGGAGGAGAAATCTGTGAAGGATATATTCACTTAAAGATAAAGAAATGAAAGCCCATTATCATCACTATTATTTGGAGGTCTGGCCAACCCTATGGGAAAGACAAAGAAATAGAGGGTATTAAGGATGAGAACAAGACAGGTAAAACTGCCTCTGTTTGTGGATGATGAACTACATAGAGAAATTAACAGACAAATTACTAGTTTAATAAGACTTTAATAAGCTTGCCAGAGGCAAGATCAACATAAAAAATTTGATAACATTTCTCTACACCAATAAGCAACAACAAAATACTAAAAAATAAGTTGCCACTCACAGCATCAACAAAAACGATGATTCATCTAAGAATTAATAATATTCAACATCTGAAGTGGAGATAATTCTAAAAATTAATAAAAGCCAGAGGATTAGATGAATAAATGGGAAGATACTTCATGATCTTAAAAAGGGATGACTTTATATATAAAAGACACTATTAGTCCCCACAAAAGACATTTTTATTAGTTTCCACAAAATTGTTTTATTCACTTAAATGTGATCCTAATTCTACTTCTGAGTGGGATAGACCTTAGACAAGTACTTTGAGAACAACTAGAAAAACTGAATGGAATAGATATCCTAAAGGGAATATCAACCAATGCTAGAGTCCACCAATGCTCCCAAGGCAAAAGTGGCCACAGAAATTAGTTAGCTCATGGCTCTAAGATTATATCCTGGTTCTGATTCCCTAGTTCTTGTCCCAGCAACTCCAGGACATTCAGAGAAATGACTTCTGTCATCTATTCAACAAGCATTTGTCAGGACCCACCATGGGGTGGGCACTATACCAAGTATTGGGGATAAAGCAGTGACGAGGGAAGGGTCCCTTCTCTCCATGAGCTTTTGGAGATGACCCGGAGCTGTGAGAGGGATGGAAAGAAGGCCTGACCCTCAAAATGGACTGACCAATGTTCCAGTAGAATGGCATCATATGGGAACTGGAAAGAAGGTTAAAGAACACCAGGCGATCCTACCTGCAGTGCTTTTTGGGGAGCCTATCGAGGGAGATGCTTCTGTTTCCACAGGGACACTTGAAAAACCTCTTTATGCCGTCATGCCAGTGGTAGTCGTGCTGCTCACTGATGCAGGTCTCCAAAGGCTTGAAGTGGGTATAGGCGCACTGCATATAATTAATAGAAGGGCACACATTTGGTCAAGAGCTTTGAAGGAGAAACTGGCTGTTAGGAGGGTGTTCTGTTCCAGAGAACTTCTGTTTTCTTACCACCACCCAGGTAGCTATGAGCAGAGTAACCGCCTTATCTACTAGCTGTGGTGATGCCTATGATTTCTCAAGTCTTGCAGAATGATGCCACTTTTTCTTGTGTTTGCCACAATTTTGGGGCAGGAATGAAGTACAATAACCTTCTGTCACATCAAGACAAAAGCACTGGGAACCTCTCAATAGCTTCATTAGGTCTGTCCTAAATTCACTCCAGTTGCTTGGTTATAGGACACCGACAGTGGGGCCTATGCAGTAGCCCTTGCATTTCCTCTTAATAAGCCTCAGAAAAGGATGTAAGCTTATAATTACTCCTCTTTCACAGGCAGCAAAATCAAGTGGAGATGATAATAATTGACTTGTAATTCTGATCCTCAGAATGACTGAATAAAATAGGAACAAAAAGCAGCACCATACTAAGAGAACCTCCCCAGTACTTCTGAAGCCCTCCCCATGCCCCCTTCCAGGCATTGCTCCCCCTGCACCCCAAGAGTAATCATAATCACCACCCTGCTTTCTAACAGCAGAGATTCATTTGTCTGGTTTTGTATTTGGCATAAATGGAATTGTATGAGACATTTAAATGAAAGGAAGGAAGGAAATGAAGGGTGAACGTCGAAACAGGTAGGTGCTGGGACAGAGCATATGGTTTCTGGTAACTTTTGGTTCTGGCAGCCTCATAAAGTACAGAGCAGAGTGGTATGCCAGCTGTAGTAGGTAGAACAGATGCTCCCGCCCAAGACATACATACCCTACTCCCTAGAATCCATGAGCATTTTAGATAACGTGGCAAAGAGGGATTTTAAGATTGGGAAATGATCCTGGATTATCAGACGGGCCCAATGGAATCCTAAGGGCTCTTAAAAGTGGAAGTGGGATACCACAGGGAGACAGCCAGAGGATGTGATAAGAGGGCTGGGCCTGCCATGGCTGGCTCTGAAGAGGAAGTGGCTGCAAGCCAAAGAATAACGAGTGGGATCCAGAAGCTTGGAAAGGCAGGTATATGGATTCTCCCCTAGAACCTCCAAAAGGAACACAGTCTTGGCTGACCTGGATTTTAATCCTGTGAGACCCACAGAGACTACAGAAGAGCAAAATAAAGAAGTTGTGTCTTTTAAAACAATCAAGATGGTGGTTATTTGTTTGGGCAGAAATGGGAAACTAACACCAGCTATGTCCTTAGGTTTGCCATTGTATCAGCATAAAATCTGTTAATCTGAAGTAAAACCGTTACTTATTCTGAACTTTCAAAGGCAGCCCTGCCTTTTGGTGACAGCTGGTTCAGGGCCATCCTCTAAATGTAAAGGAGAGGGGATCCCTGGATGGTTCAGCAGTTAAGCATCTGTCTTCGGCCCCAGGCGTGGTCCTGGAGTCCCGGGATTGAGTCGTACATCAGGCTCCCTGCATGGAGCCTGCTTCTCTCTCTGCCTGTGTCTCTGCCTCTCTCTCTGTGTCTCTCATGAATGGATAAATAAAATCTTAAATAAAAAAATAAAAAATAAATGTATGTATGTATGTATGTACGTATGTATGTATGTATGTAAAGGAGAGTCGGAGGTTTGAAAAGGAATAAAGACAGAGAAAATTGTACTTGGTAAGCTAAGCCTCTTCCTCCTCTTATGTATGCTTACAAGGAAGATTAGCCAGGCAGTATAAAATGAGTGGTAATGAAAGGATACTGTTGCAAGAACTATTTTTTGGTCTTATTTGTCAATGTTGATGGACAAGGGTATTATCATTTTTCTAATGGATTTAGTGTAAAAATTCTGCAAACACTGAAAATAATGCAATTTACACTTTGCCTTGAGATTCAATTTAGCAAGCTAAGCCCTGAGTAGCAAGGGACAATAGTAGTTGGTCATAACATGTGATGCCAAAGGAAATCATACCATGTCCCAGGACTGTGAACCACGGACTATGGATGTGCTAGAAACTTGAGAAGGACAGTTAAGAATAACTTGGATCCAACGTTCAAGGCTTGCCTGCAGAACCAGGAGCTGTGGTCAAATGAGAGAAGAATCTCACTGTCAATGCTCTGCCACCAGAGCTCAGAGACCAAGTCAGCTGGCAGCCAGGTCCTTGGCTGTCGTGAACCACTTGGTTTCCAGCCTAATTAAATGACCTGTGCAGGACTCCAGTCACAAGACATGGCCCCATATCCCATATATCTCCATGTTCTGTTGAGTCACAACAGCTCAGAACAGGGCCCAGGGTTAGAACCATCTCCTCCACTCACCGTCTTGCATGTCACTACTCGACATTTCACTTCTCTGATGCTTCTCATCTTTTCTTCCATTTGTTCTTTTTTCACCAATGGCTCAAAATAGCGTTCTTGCAGCTCAGCCTCAGCCTGGAAATGACAAGGCATACAAGAGACCTTGCACCAAATCCAACTTGTACTCAGGCACCAATTCAATAATAGTAAAAACCACCAGAGACAAGCTGTTATGAGGACACCTGATAAGAACTCAAAGAACTGCAAACCAAAAGATGATCATAAGTAGACATAAGCTCTTACTTTTTCCAAAAACTGGTTTGAAGGCACCTGGTGATTTTTAAAACACGAAATACAAACTTAAATACTAACATTATTAACAGTGTCATCACATTGCGTGTGTGCACCAGAAGGGAATTATTTCTCCTGTGCCCGTATAGACTCAAGCTATGGAAAGTATTCAGTGCCTCTCCACTTAGGACAGCCCAGTCTATTTGATACTATTTTCTAGACCGAGCACTTGGCAGGAGCCATCTCTGGGTGAGGGAAGAGATATTCAGAGCTCTGGAGTTAGTGCAGCTGCACAAGGCCCAAGGCCTCTGGTGGATGCAAAGACCAGGAGCTCAATTCTGCAACCTCTCAGGGATGGCCTTGGCACCTCTCCGGGCCAAGTTTCTGGTCTGGTAGAGTGGTAGGATACACAACTGTCTGATTAGTCAGTAGTTTTATCAAAAGCACAACATTCAGAGCAGAGCATTCAGAGTACTGGCACTAATGGAGACACCGTAAAAATTGGTGGGAGCCCTTGTTTTGTTAACCCAATGATTGCTACCCCTCCCTGCTACTCGCAGAGACCAGGGAAACTGCACCCGCAATGCACCAAACAGTCCCTTGATATGAAAGGATTCATTCGACTGTTTTAAAAGGCACCCATGTGGATGAAAAACCCCATTATAACTCTCAAAACTAACTGCTTTATATACGACCCTACATTTGTGCATCATTCAAATATACATTGAATATACCAAAAGCACACTAGGCAACTCTTGTGTATATAGAGGGACAACCATAGTTTGGTGTGTTCAAAAGTTCCCTGGAGTATTTATTGTTTAAAAAAAAAAAAAAAAGCACACTGTCAGAGAAACAGAACCATGGTATTTAAGTAACCAAAAAAACCCACACCTAAGAAGACTTCATTTCTATTTGTCTTATTTATGTTTATAACCCAATCCTCTGACAACTTTCTTATTTCTTCTGGGATAGTTTACATCAAATATTTGATTTACATAATCAAATATATATCAAATATATACTTTTAATATAAATATTTCCTTTTCTAATTTTTACATTACACATAGGATATGGATACCCTTTTTTGGGAAAAGCTTATTTATTTATTTGAAAGAGAGAGACAGAGACAGAGTGAGAGGGTAAGAGTGGAGGAGGGGAGCCAGAGGGAGAAGCAGATTCCCTGCTGAGCAGGGAGCCCAATTCGGTGCTCAATCCCAGGCCCCTGGGATCATGACTCAAGCCAAAAGCAGATACTTAACCTACTGAGCCACTCAGGTACCCCTATACTGATATTCAAAAGAACAGCTATAGTGGCAAACCACTGAAAGATAAATTCAAAGCTATACCTAGAAAGCACCATTTTTATAACATCGATGTCTATTAAAATTAAGATAAATGATATTCTTCACAAGGACAGAGGCAAAGCTAAATTCTATCAAGAATGTTCCTGTTCCTTGAAGTCAACTCAGACAAAACTATGTCTTGGCTGAGGTCGAAGAAATAGATTCTTCTTAGTCCCATGACAAAGTGCGAGTCTGAAGGGCATCACTATCATTTTTGACCTTTTTTGGCTTTTACCTCTTTGAGTATTCCTGTGTGCTTTGATTTTGCTTTTAGAATTTTCTGAAATTCTTCAGATTCCAGGTAGGTAAGTTGTTCTCTCCTTTTTTTCCTGGCAGGCTCCAACTCATCTTCAGCTAGAGCAGAAAGGAAACAGTAGCTGTCACTGAGAAATTTCAGGAAGCCAAGGAGCCTCATGGACTCAGCTTCTTCCTGTTCTCTCCATCTCTGACAACAAGGCCCTTCAAATTTAATTTACCCCAATCGGTACCAGCAGAGAAAAACTCTTGAGGAGTGAGCTGACAAGTAGGCCCTAGCATATGGGGAATGGCAGATTTAACCACTGGATTAGAATCTCTTCCATTCTTAAGACAGGAACAGACTATGATGATAAGTAATGTCAAGAAAACTCCTTTTTACAAACTGATAATAAAATGTCACCGCCAACTTCAGAGTTTTTAAAATAAAAATGGCAATTTGGAAACAAATTCTACTTCTTTCAAAGTAAATCTTTATACTAATATATCTCTGTACAAAGATCTAATAAGTAATCATTTTCTTATTTTTTTTAAGATTTTATTTATTTATTCATGAGAAACACACAGAGAGGCAGAGACATAGGTAGAGGGAGAAGTAGCATCCCTGTGGGGAGCCGGATGTGGTACTCAATCCCTGGACCCCAGGATTATGCCCTGAGCTGAAGGGAGATGCTCAACCACGGAGCCACTCAGGCGTCCCAAGTAATCTTTTTTCTTAAGCTTTTAGATTGTGTATAATTTCACTTCAACTTAATGGGATCATTGAAAATGGTGCCCCAGTGGCACTAGCGGTTTAGCTCCGCCTTCAGCCCAGGGCATGATCCTGGAGACCCAGGATCGAGTCCCACATCAGGCTCCCTGCATGGAGCCTGCTTCTCCCTCTGCCTGTGTCTTTGCCTCTCTCTCTTTCTCTCTGTCTCAAATAAATAAATAAACTAGTTTTTTTTTAAAAAAAGGTCAATTCCAGTTGCAGAAATTCTATTTAGGTACTGTAATAGAGGCAAATTTAAGTAAAACAAAAATTTCTGTTATCAGGGATGCTGGTTATGGTTTAGAACATCTTACAGATGGCGGCCTTCCCACTGCTAACTCTAAAACCCACAGTACCTTCAGGAGAAAAGTTGTGGTTCTTTTCTACACGGTCCTTCACTCCCAGGACATCCTGGGGGTCCTTTTGCTTCCTTTTAATGCTGTTTGGGTCTGTTTTTGTCAGAATCTGGCCTTTTGCTCTTAATTTGGTTATAGCAGCTAACTAGAAAAAAGAGATGAAAAAATCTTAATGAGACAGTTATCTAAAGCCCTGTACCCCTTTTCTAGTTATTAACGAGTGCATTCTATTCTCAAATATAAATTAGCAAAATATATCTTCTCTTTATAACATTACCCAGTTATTAAAATTTTAAAGTATGGGATCCCTGGGTGGCGCAGCGGTTTGGCGCCTGCCTTTGGCCCAGGGCGCGATCCTGGAGACCCGGGATCGAGTCCCACGTTGGGCTCCCGGTGCACGGAGCCTGCTTCTCCCTCTGCCTGTGTCTCTGCCTCTCTCTCTCTCTCTCTGTGTGACTATCATAAATAAATAAAAATTAATAAAAAAAATTTTTTTAAAAGTATGGAGACAGCTCTATAAGCTAATAAAGTTTCAGCTTACTTAAATACCAAGTTTAAAATCATTACACTATGGGCTTCAGGACCCATAGAGGAACCACATAAACACTGTGGAAGTTTGTTTTACAATCAGACAGAATCAGGATAAGATTCTAGCTCTGCTACTTACTAGTTTGTAACCTTATGTAAATTACTTAATTTTTCAGCCTCAGGTTTTACATTTGTAAAATGAAGATGATAGTGTTTACTAGGCTGTGCAGATGAGAGAACGTGGGCAAAGCACGAATCTATACAGACTAAACAGCATGTGTGTATATACCACAAGCACATGTCCAATCGTTTTGTTTTACAGGGTTTTTTGTTTTTCTACACCTGAGGTGGGGCTTGGACTCATGACCCAAGATCACAGGTGCTCTTATCACTATCATTACTGCAGGTGCAGCTCTGGCTTATGACTAGCCTTTGCCCTTCAAGTGGTGATAGTGGCTAACTAGGACAAAGAGAAGACAGGCTCTTACTGGGGCTCGGGTTGACTCACGAAGGGTTTGAAAAGTGGAGCTCTGAGCACGGCAATCAGAGCAACTTAGCTCCTGTGTAAGATTTCTTTCAAAGGATTCTGTAAACCACCATTTTACAGTCTTGTGTTAATAATTCCCAGAATTTGCTTCCCTCAGGCCAGCCAGAGTTTAGAACATCTCCCTCAGCCTCACAAGGAACAGTGTTGACAATGGGTAACGTTCTTGGATTGAACCAGTGGCATTATGTTGATGCCATTATCACTTGATATTCCTTTCACTCTAATTTTCATGATCAATAAATATCTATTACTCTCTTTCAACTCCAGCTATGGCCTACAGAATGCAAATTCAAATGTTAAAAAAATTGATGCCACTTACCTTTTTGGCTTCTGCTAAAGCACTCAGTTTTGGTCTTGGTGGTGGTGACTCATCAAAAAAGAGAACATCATCTCCTTCTGAGATGCCTCGCCCCAGCTTGGGCATCTGTGTGGCTGGTGCTCCTTCCAGGCTGGGCAACACAGCCGCTGTTTGCAGAGACTGGGAAGGGACCCGTTGAGAAGAGGGTGTCACAGCTGGGCTCTTGATCCCACTTGAGCTTTGGAGAAATCTTTAAAGAAATACATAGTCACAAAGTATGCTGACTGGGACACTGTAGATAGGCCACCAGCTGGTAAGTAGTCACTAGTAAAATAGCTGCTCCTCCATGGTCAAGACCAGCACACACTGAGAATGTGCGGGCTTTCCTAACTCTGGTTAACTGACTATTCATTGAATAAGCTCTTGTTGTTTTAGCGATTTAGAACTGATTACTATTTTTGCCAACTGGCTTTCTTGTGGGTGCCTCTCAATAGAACATAGCCCTGAAGGTGAGATGTGTGCTGTATTCCTAGCTCTCTGGTTAGCTGGGACCTTCAGAAACTCATGGAAGGTCTCATTTTAGTTTACTGGGAAGAGGTAACACACAGGATATATGTGAAAATCCTTCACAGAAAGACATAATTCACATGGTGATTTATTTTGTAAGCAGTCAAAAGGGCTAATGAAAAACAACAGGTGCCACAAATTATGTAGTCCAGAACTCTCATTTTACAGATGAAGGAATTGAGGGCCAAGATCCTACTGCTTGTAAGGATGCTGATGACTAGTTCCAGGTAATCTCAGGCTAGGATTCTTTCCACTACCACATGCCCACTCCTATAACTGCCTATGAGACCCTGCCCAGTGATATGTTATTTGGCCAGCAAAATTCTGAAGAACTTCCAACTGTAACACCTTTAAATGGGCAGGTGCCCCCTATTTCACACAAGGCCACAACCCCATGTTATCTATATCATCTGTAGCCACATGAAGAACATCTCCAGAGATATTCCATCAGCACCTCAAACTCACCTGCCTGAAGCCAAATCTATGCTCTGGATTTTTCCAAAGAATTTCCTGGTAGCTTAAAGTGGACTTTCCTATTTATTGAACCATCTACCTTTCAGTGGCCCAGATCTGGGGCAGCCTAACTGTTTTAACTAGGGCAGAACAGGTATGAATGAGTCCAAACCTGACTCCATCACCAACCAGCTCTCTGGCACTCAGTTACATCACTCATAAAACAAGGATAACAGAATCTCACAGACTATGGTAAGGACTAAAAGAGACACTGTTGATTTGATGTATAGCATGTGCTCCATACCTGTTAAGCATCTCTAAACTGATACTCTTATCACTATTCTGATAACTTGAGTTTAAGAATCTTTGATTCATTTACCTTCTGCACCATTTTCCACTTGTTTCTGCCTCTAAAATGACTCTCCACTTTCACTGCCTCACTTTTATCATTTACGTGAGCAACTGTAAAATCTATTTACTGGCTTAGCCTGTACTTAAAAAAACTAATTGTGGTAGAACTAAAAAATGAGAGAAAGAGGTCAACATGCGCTTTTCCCTTTCACAATACCCTTTTTAACCGTTCCTTCTTTCCCTTCTTCCCTGGGGTGTTGGGGTATTAATTACTATAACTTGTACCACCTGGTCTCAAATTCACCAGCGTGAGTCAGAGATACAGAACCCGAAAGGCTGTGTTCTTAGGTTATGTTAAAATTGCTTTGGAACTTTCAAAGTTAAAAAGCTATCCAACCATCTAAAAATTTAAAGCCACATTTTGGAAATCCATTAAGATGTTCTGAGGATCCCGGAGATAAACTATCTAAATAGGAAATATTAAACCCATTATTCTTACCGTTTTTGTATTTCTTCTGACCTCTTCTTCCTCATCTCCAGCATGTGCTGCTTCTGCTGCTTTAAGAGGGCTGATGCTGAGACAGACTGGAAAGCAGGTTTCGGGCTTCCTGTTATCCCTGAAACACAAGCCACAGACTGAGGGGCTCCGAAGGGCTGTGGGAACGCAGGCGTGGGCACAGGAGCAGGGGCAGGCTGACTCTACCTGGTAACCTGGCTTTGGCTAAATGTTGTTTTAAGTTTCTGGCTCCAAATGTAGGCAAGTCCATCAGTTCCTTGAATTCCTCAGAGCAAGACAAGCTCTTCTGGGGTATTCCTGGAATATACAAACATCAGCTTTAGAGGACTCAAAGTTCCAACAGTCTGAGATTATATGTACTTTTAAAACTGCATTCAGGGCAACAGCCGGGGTGGCTCAGTGGTTTAGCGCCACCTTCAGCCCAGGGCATGATCCTGGAGACCCAGGATTGAGTTCCACATCGGGCTCCCGGTGTGGAGCCTGCTTCTCCCTCCTCCTGTGTCTCTGCCTCTCTCTCTCTGTCTATGTCTATCATGAATAAATAAGTAAAATCTTTTTTTAAAAAAAGATTTAAAAAAAAAAAAAAGAAAGAAAAGAAAATTTATACAGCATCTACATAAAGACTCAGCTATGATTAATATGCTTTCCTTAAGATGCAGCCAAGCAAGCCTGATTGCTTCAGCTTAGGCCACATGACTAGGTAACTATAGTGATGACTGGGTATTTATAATTTAGGGCATGAACAACTGTGACCATTTTCAATCCTAAAGACTACATATTTAAGCTACAGAAAGAAATATAGTATTGAGAAATAAAGTTACCAAGTTTTTGTTGGGTTTCCTGAATGATCGAGTCTGTCCCCTTAACCACCAGATTAGTCAGAGTGGTTTGAATCTTCTTTTTAGGAGCAACAGCAGCCGCACTGAAATGACAAGAGTCACCCCCCCCCAAAGGATAGTCACTAAAATCTAATGCTCTGATAAAAGCACAGAAGTATTCATTTATTACAAACTGTCGAAGCTTCTCAAAGCACTGTATAAGGAAACTTTCTTAATACCACAGTCCTACAATATAGGTACTGAATGCATCATGTCAGGCAACCTCCAAGTTTGGTGAAGGCCATTCTGGAAAAGCAATATGGCAAAAGAAATAAAAAATATGCCACCACTTTGATCAAGCAGTCTGGAAATTTACCTTAAAAAATTAAGGACTAGGCAAAAACTTAGGATATTAATGGGGTAAAATATTGTTTTCAATGTTAAAAGTTAGAAATATCATTAATGTTTATCCACAAGGAACTATTTTATCACAGAGCCATGTAAAAAACAATGTAGCTGCTAAAAATAATGCCGTAAATGCATATTCAATAATGAAAGCATTAATTATTTTATGGTGGGGGGACTGCAAAGTATAGATGCAGTATGATCTCATTTTGTATTACTGGAAACTTATACATATGGGAAAAAATATCTAGAAAGATACATAGCAAGGAATGATTATCTTACACCTAGTTTTTATTGTCTCCTTTTGGCTGAACTGTATATATATACAGATACATCTTTATAATGTAGAAGAACTGCTTTTTGTAGTTTGTGAAAATACAAGCATTATTTTAAATGTGCTTGATATGATAAGTTAGGCAAGAGGTGAGAGTTCCCTTGCCCAATTTCTATGAGCCTAGAAACAAAATGTTTTGTTCTCAACCAGTGGTAGCTCCTTTGTGACAGGTCCCCACTGGCCATGTCCTCAGATGTGCTTTCTATTCTACAGGGACAAGGCCATCGATCACATACTTCAAGGATTCTATGGAAGGCCTGACATGCCCAGGAGAGAGGCCACAAATGTTTGCCTCAGCAGCATCCCAATCCTATGTGAGGCTTCACTGCTATTACTTCACTGAGTTAAACATGGCCTCTAAGAGGTCTGTCATTTCAATGTAGGAGTTGTGAAGGAAAGGACTCAGAGGATGCCAAAAACACTAGGACTAGTGGACTTTCAGTGGCCGTATAATCAACCCTGACAAAGTTGCACCATTTACCTTAGAAGCCAAAGAAGTGTGGGCTCTATGTTAAAGACCATCATGACACAACTTACCTTTAAGTTGGCCATCTAAGAGGAAAACCTTTTCCTCTTTCCCTGGGAATAAAGGAGGTCCTTGTCTACCTCGTTCTGGGCAGTGAATTTATGAAAGAGCAAACCTGTACAAGTCTTCTAGGACCATTACAGGGAAGTACAACCATTTGGTTTGTTCTTATAAGGAGACAAGCAAGATCCCTGTCCTGAAAGAAGCCCCAGAGAATGTCTTACATTGAGGCCGCGTACGATGCAGAAGAAACCCCTCCATAGTAAAAACCATCCTGACATAGCCGTTCTTTTAGACTGCTGCCTTTGCGGGCAAACTTCTTTGGAATTCGTCCTCCGGAGAAGGTGGACTGCAGGTCAGCTCGCCTGGCACTGAGCTTCTTGTATTGAGCCTGGATGTGATATTGACAGTACTCACAGTCGTTCTGTAAAAGGAAGAGCGGCTGCATCAGGATTAGGGTGACATACCCGGGGACAGTGTCAATAAACACTTTCTTTTCTCCCAGCTTCATGGGGTGCTACTGAGTGTAGAGCCCCCCCCTACTGATCTCCAGGGCCATTCCTCAAGTGCAGCTATGCAGTGACTTCTCTGAAATTCCACTTGAGAGCTCTAGTTGGGTGAAAGAAAAAATGATACTGTTCACCTCATAAGCCCTCGCTCTACCTTGACAATAAAAGAAGTCAGATACACTAGGCCCATCACCAGGGGATGGAGGAGAGGGGTGGAGAATGGTTACTTAATGGGTATAGGGTGTTTTTGTGGGGTAGTGAGGTTTTGAAAGTAGAGAGCTGGTGGTTGCACAAGAGGAAACATGCTGAATATATCACTCAAGTGTACATTTTAAAATGGTTAATTACAGGTTATGTGTATTTTACCTCAATACAAACTGATTTAAGAATAAAACAAATCAGGGGTGCCCGGATGGCTCAGTCAGTTAGGGGTTGACTCTTGATTTCGGCTCATGTCATGATCTCAGGGTTGTGAGATTAAGCCCCATGTTGGGCTCCACACTGAGCGTGGAGTCTGCTTAAGATTCTCTCTCTCCCTTTCCTCCTACTCCTACCACCTTCACCCACCACCGTGCATACTCTCTTAAAAAAAAGAGAATAAAACTATCTTCACTTCAGTGAAAAAAAAAAGGGGGAAACATGCTAACATTCTACTGGGTGAGGCCTTAGATGGGCAACAATAGGGTTTTAATGATCACAATGGTCTGTGGAGATCCATCAAGTACTTTCTTCTGAGACCTCTTTCTCCAACTATCTCCTGCTATTTCCTGTTCACTAGCTCATCTATTAGGAAGCAATGAGGGAACTAAAAGGTGATGAAACCAAAACCCGCCATTTAATTTGTTCACAGAACTCTAAGTAGCACCACTTCACACCTACTAGAATGGCTGTCATCGGCAGTACACAGAAACAAGGGCTGGCTGGGAGGTGGAAAAAATGGAACCCTCCTCTCTGCTAGTGAGAATGTAAAAGCCACTTTGGAAACCAATCTGGCAGTTTCTCAAAAGCCAAAACATGAGGTTACCAGGCAACCCAGAAATTCCAAGGAAACTAAAAACATGCATCCATCTATATAATAACCTATACAAGAATGCTGATAGCAGCAGTATTGATAAAATGCCCAATGACTAATGAATAAACAAACTGCTGTATGCATACAATGGAATATTATTTGACCATGAAAATGATGAAATATTGATGCATGTGACAATGTGAACAAATCCCAGAAACATCGTGCTAAGTGAAAGAAATTAGACACAAAAGGTCACGTGTTGTACATTTCCATGACATGCAATGTCCAAAGGAGAAAAATCCATAAAGACAGAAAGCAGAGTAGTACTTACCAGGGGCTGGGGGAAGAAGGTAATGGGGGGGTGACTGCTAAGGAGTATGGGGTTTCGTGGGGGTGGGGTGGGGTCTGAAATTACATAGTGGTGATAACTGCACACCTCAGCATTAAAACTACTGAACTGTACATAAAAGGGTGAATTGTATGGTACATGAGGATCTTAAGTTAGGACTTATATTTTAAAAGGCTCTAAGAAAATACAAGTTGGACTTAAAGAGATGAAAATAAGGTTTTCAGTGCATTTCATCATTGTTTGATCTCTGGCACTGCTCAGAATTTAGGGCAAACTAAAAATCTGTCTTCCTTATACCTTCCAGTCAGTTGGCAATAAAAGATCGCTTTTCTGAGAGGTTAAATCCTTCTCTTGTCCTCAGTTTTTTAAACTGGCAGTTACTAACTACACACCGAATTTTCTTACTTTGGTGCTTTCTGTTATGTAGGAAACTCTGTTCCAAATTGACCATTACCACTATGCTATCTACAACCTAGTCACATTAGATCCCGTCCTCATCAGAAACCAACCCAACAGAGTTGAAACCAACCAAATTAACAGTCTGTGTACACGGCTGTCCGTTCTTCTTCTTTGCTTTACAGGTTCCTAGGTCAAGAGCCTCACCCATGATTAAGATCTTCTGAGGATGATCAACAGACAAGCACACCTACAGAGAAGACACAGAGTGGGAGTTAAAAGCTGTCCTTTTATCAGCAAGAATGAGTAAGAGGCTGGTTGGTGGGAGTTAGTGAGGCTGTAGCAGTCTATAGGAATTAGAAGCCAGGACCCTATAGAGCAGCTTTAGGAACAGGAGTATAGGAGATATGCTCAATTCTCTACCTAGTATCCATTCTCTCCTGTCTCCTTTGTTTCTGCTGCAGAATTTGGATTTTCTTTGGGTGGGCCAACGCTCAGTCTCAGGTGACAGATCCTGTTCATTTTCCCAGCATCCCTTGCAGGTAGTGATGGTCACAGGACTGCGTTCTGGCCAAGGAGACTGATTCAGGAGGTCCCAAAAAAGCAGACAGGGCAGGGCTGGGTCACTCCTGCCTTGAATGGTGGTATGAGGGCAACAGCTTCAAAGCCATGCAGTGACCAAGAGGAGAAGGCTGAGAGGCTCATAGACATTGGCCCTGACATCACTACATTGTCTATGTGTTGGGATTAATATGTAAGGATGGAAGATCTGTTGCTGTTCTCTGGTAAAAGGAAGAAAAGAAAATAATTCTGATTCTCACTCTCCCTTATTGTATTAATGATAACATATAGTAACAACAAAATGATACTTCTTGCTGGTTGGGTGGAGAAAAGGTCTGTTGCTATTCACAATAGATCTCAGGCTATAGCAGCAGGAACCTCTGCTGCTGCTGAGAAGATGAAATCACTCTGGTTCTAAGTTGCAGTTATGGCTGTACAACTAATGGAATCAACTATAAAATCCTGCCTGCTTGATGCCGCCAATGGAGATCTATGAAGAAGATCTAAGGAGACCTGAGCAGAACAGTTTAAAACACTCTAGGAAACTTGGAACTAATGTGGAAAGATTTAATGAAAGCAATCGTTGTGGAACATTTAAGAGTAGACAGAAGTTCAGAATATTGGTGGGTGAGGAACAAACAAAAAGCAATCTAGCTCCAGTAATCTAACTGGAGATATATGAAAGCATGACTCAGTTCTGGAGATGGACCAGTTTTTGATAGAACTTGGCTCAGCTGTAAAGACCAGAGAGAAAGAGAAAGAAAGATCATGGAAACAGATTCTTACCTCATCTGAACCATCCTTGGGCTTCATGGGGTTAGCATTGAGCAGACCTATGACAGTACCCTGTTCAGTCTTCCAGAGTTCTTTGTGAACTTCTCCAAATAAGAACAACGACACATACCGTGTCAGGTCACGGAGATCATTCAGTCGCCAGATACTAAATGTTTTCCCCTGGAATAAATATTTACCCCTCTTTTTAATAAATTTTGCACAATGGGCTATACTGTGTTTCAAGTCCTCTACTGTGGGAACATATATAAACATAAACCAGTCTTATTGTATAATCTTGAAAATGCCTGTTTGTTATGAATTAATCCTACCTCTAGGCTTTAGTATTTACTACCTTTCTCATTTTAGAAATGAAATTAAGACAAGCCAGAAGCACACACGTTAGTGAAGTCTCTAATTCTCAGGTCTAAATCGTCAATGGGATAGCACCACCTTTCTAACCACACACACAATATTAAAAGGACCAGAGTCAAGTTGTGGCACTACCGTTTAATGACTTATTGATATAAATTTAGTGGATCTGTTACTTATCACTGATTAATTATATTAATATTAATATTAATAAAAAGGTGTCAGCTCTGTGCTATTCAATCTTTGCCTAACTTATAAGAAAAACAAAAGCATATTTAAAGACAACTGGTTTATGTTTAACTGTAAAATTTCAGAAGTATTCTATATCTGAAGAAATGCAACTCAAAATGCTAACCACTTAAATAAAAATGTCCGCTTTCAGTTTTTTTTTTAAGGCAAAATAATCTGAATATTCAATCAAGCTATTTCACACAGGCATCCTGGAATGGGTGTGGTTATAGGTTATGCTGAGTTATTGACTGCATTCAAGTGTTTTAACTATGTTTCCATGGATGTGTACAACTCCTTTCTTGGGAGGGTTCAAATAAAATTTTACACCTATCATTTCAAATCATTACAGCCAGTGTCATTAGTCATTACCAGCCACAATACCAGTAGTGACACAATTAAGAACTTAAAAGAACCAGATGTGTTCACTTTCACTTTTAACAGTAAGAGGGCTAGAGCAGGACTTGTAGAACAATATAAGATTGACCAAGATCTCAATTAGAGAATGAAAACAGGATTGTGCATGAGTAAACCTAGTATTTGAGAGCTGGAAGAGAATTCTGATATAAACAAAAGCCATTTCCTTCCTTTTACAAATAAGGAAATGAAAGTACTTAAAGATTAAAGGTCAGGCTAAGTCCACATAGCTAGTGAGAATGGGGCTTAGGATGAAGGTTTTCTGACTTCCCACACCACAAAGTCATCTTCTCATTACCTCTCCATCAACTGCAATTTTAAAATCTGTTAGATATTTTGTAATATGCACTGTGCTGGCACAGTCAGCAATTTCAGAACTTCTGAGGCTGACCTCTTCTTTCTAGAAAGGCTCTTTAGAGGATCCAGGTACTCGACCTCTCCCCCTCAAATGGGATGACAGTATCACAGGGGCAACCCTTGTGCCACCAAAACAATGACCAGTGAAATATGGCAGGAATAATACAGTGAAAAGCCCAAGGACCCTGTACAATCAGGTCTGTTAAGTAGGACATTCTTTACGTATTTAACCTTCAGATAGCAATCCAACGATGGTGAGGCAATCTGTGAACTCACTAGCAGCTATTTCAAAATAAAATACTAATAGGCTTGGGGTAGAGAAATCAAGAACATGAATCCCCACGGTCAGCTTGTGATGGAGCAGCTAAGAAATCCGTAAGATGGCTTACACTATTACAACTCTGCGGAGTGATTTTCTTCAATATAACCCCAAAAGTCACCCAGTCTATTTCTTCTAGCTTCTCACTTGCCATCTTTTCCTTGAGCTGAGACAGTCTGATCAGTTTTCGGCCAATCATTTTCTTGCTCATCTCTGTGGAGGACACTCGAGGCCGCCTGGGTCAAGAAACCAGCAATGGTTAGATTATCATTCTAATAAAAGATTACCTAGCACTGTAGCAGGTTGGTTAGAAGAGACGTTACGGATAGAAATTATTCTCTGAAGTACTTGTTCTCAGGGAGGCTTAGTTATATAGTATGGACAAGGGAAAGATTTTTATGGCAGATAAATAAAAATAAGTTTTTTAAGATTTTACTTATTTATTCATGAGAGACACAGAGGCACAGACACAGAGGGAGAAGCAGGCTCCATTCCATGCAGGGAGCCTGACATGGGATTCGATCCCAGGTCTCCAGGACCACACACCCTGGGCTGAAGGCAATGCTAAACCGCTGAGCCACCTAGGCTGCCCAAAGTAAGATAATTCTTAAGGCTAGTTTATCCTTACTTGGATAGAGAACTGGAGCTTATACAGAAAACAAGATTGTACACACTCTAAGTTCTTATAAATGATAACATGTTATAATAGTCTTTTGAAAGTAATCTCTTTTGACTTTAATACAAAATGATGAATTGATATTAAAAATAAGATTTAAATTTCATCAATTCTGTAATAATTTCACAGAGTCTACAATTTTTTTTTTCTTAAAAAGATTTTATTTATTCACGAGACACAGAGAGAGAGAGGCAGAGAGACACAGGCAGAGGGAGAAGCAGGCTCCATGCAGGGAGCCCAATGTGGGACTCGATCCCGAGTCTCTAGGATCAGGCCCTGGGCTGAAGGTGGCGCTAAACTGCTGAGCCACCCGGGCTGCCCAGGGTCTTTAATTTCTAATTGGATTTTTTTTAACCCAACATTTTCATATAACAATAAATAGAAGCTTATAATCTAGTTTCAGTTAATATTTTCTTAATCCTAATGACTGGCCAAACTGGTGGATTTGCAAAAGCTATTTTTCTCTGGGGGAATATTAATACCTATTCCGTACTAGATCATATTATATATTCAAAAACAAAAGAAAAACCAGAATAAAACATGCCTTTTGATTATTTCAAAGGTCTTTAGAAATAAAAAGTCATAGAGCTAACTCTGAAGCAATGAAGAATATTCGGGAGAAAAACACTGATGTAGGTAGAGAAATCCTTTTTGTGGCTTGATTTCTGTGAATTAATAGATTACTATCACATTACTGCCCTTTGGAGTATTTGAGTATTTTCAGAGCCTGAGATCCAGGTACAACAATTACAAAGAGATTCAAACAATTGTGGTCCCCTAAATCTGTAGGCCACTCAGAAGCTTGGGCTGTCTACTGCATGTACACTTTGATTAGCAACATCTCTCTGTGGGAAATTTCAACAGAGAACTGGTTACAGCAGGCACTATCATCTTGCTGGGGGTGGTTTACCTTAAGACAAAAAAACCCTGCAGTGAAAACCATAGCTCTTACTGTATCCCAGCCCACAGACTGTCTCAGATGTAATTAAGATACTGAATACTTTCTTCCAATTTTGGAGAGTATGGAGTCTTTACAATACGATTTTACTTCATGGTGGCAGCTTATTCTCCCTCTGCAGTTTTAGTTTAGCAGTTTTAAGACCTTAGCAGTTTTAGTTTAGATTGACAAGTGTTAGGTGTTCTAAAGGGATTGCACTTAGCTACTCAGATAGACTATACTAAAAGCAATCTGGTCTCAGAGTAAGAATTACTGCTCTGCCCTGGGCTTTGACAGAATAGAGATACAATGGAGTAGTGATATGGAGCACAGAAGATTTGAAAAGCTTTTAACTCAAATGATCCTGGGACTTATTCCTATTTTAACTGAGTATCTTCATTTCCCCACAGTTATAACTGAAGCAAAGGACATAAGTTTGCCTTAAAAGTTATTAGAAAAAGAGCACAAGGTCCTTTTCTTAACATTAGTTACAAGAAGTCACTACTATTCTGGTTAAACTGGATACACCTTTATGGACTTAAAAATAATCTCTATCACAGTTTCTGATTAAATATACTATTATTTACTTGTCCATTTCCCTTTTACAGATACATCATCTTTTATTCATCACTCAAATAAGAAAAAGTCGCCTTTAGACATTTCACATGTGAAGTGTACTGGATGTTATGGCTAGTCTTACTGCCAACGTTTGCCAAATTAAAGAGATGTTGGTGTTAAGTGGATCTGCTGTACAAACACGTCATTTCTAGAAGGTTCAATCCTTGGGAAGGAGGAGAGGCATCTAGTGGGGCATGAAAACCATGTGAGACGCCTTTACAGTTACTGACCTGAGCCTCAGGCCTGAGAAGGCTTCCACGGAGACTACTGTCTGAGCCGGTTCCCCAGAACTCGTAGGAGTCCCTGCATTTTGACCTCTGGCCATCCCACTAGGTTTGTTTCCAGGAGTAGTTCGGAGTGGTTGAGGGGGTGTACTTGTCATTCTTGAAGAGGAGCTTTTGGGCTCTAGAAAATTAACATAAAAGTGAAAGGAAAAAAGTCACACTGATCCTTACAAAATTTGTTTATATAAAATTGTTTTTTTTTAAATCAACATATGTAATAACCAAATCTTGAGAACAAAGGAAGCCCACAAGACCATTTCTGTACTACCCTCCAAATCTCTGCAGTGCAGTCCGAAAGAACTTCCTGTGACAATGCGAAGGTTTTATACCGATGTGGTCTCATAGGGTGGCTACCAGCCACACGCACTGGGCACTTAAAATGGATGAATGTTTCTAAAGAAATCAATGTCTAATTTTACTGCATCCAATTAAAGCCTAATTAGCCACATGTAGCAGGTGGTGGCTGTACTATAGTGCTGCTTTCAAACACAGTTCCTTTCTGCAATGGCATTTCCTGAGTATTCCCCATACAGAATGCTGTGGTACACTCCACAAGGGAGTAAGAGCCATCTTCAGGAAGCAATGATTAGTGATTTGTGTGCAGACCAACCTCTACCTGAAGAAAACCTAAAGTCAGCTCTCTTGTTTCTGGTTTCATCTTATTCCATTGTTTCATTTGATTTTATTTGTGGTGATGGTGATCTAGGGGAACCAGGGTATTTTATTGCCTTGCTTGCATTAAATATCCCTGTATTTTTCTTCTTCTAGAAGTGTTTGATAATGTTCCTGAAGGTCAGAAAACGTGAATGTTTTCCTTAAAAAATACCGCTTTCTTTTAAATAACACTGTTGTTTACCCTCAAAGAAACTTTGGGTCACTGCTCCCAAGCTAGGAGCTAGGACAATCCTAGAACTTTAGAATCTCTAGAAAGCATACCCATGCCCCACACCTTAAAACTAAACTTTGGACACGACCTAATGAAATACCTTAGTAATGCCAAAGGTCCTAAAGGAAAGGATGCCATTCATAAGTGGATATGCAGAATATATAATTTAAGTCAAATATAAATACAGAGAAGCTGCTATTCTCTGCAATTATATCATACGTCACTGCTATTCAAAAGGACCTTTTTGAACATGAATGGTTAGGAATATGCTGCTTACTCTGAGCTTTGTTATCCAGACCATTTTGTCTTAGATCTTCTGAAGAATTATCACCATTTGCAAACTGAGGCAATGCAACAAAATTAGTATGTAGGGCTTATATGTGGGCTGAACTAGAATGATATTTGAGTGTACATTTCTACTCCAGACAAAGAAATCTTCTCCAAAGAATGGACCGTCTGCTTTAATACAACTTGGCTTCAAATAAAACTTAGCCATTTTGAAAGGAATCTGTGCCTTGAACTCACAAGCCCAAAGATTCAATCTCTAGACTGCACGAGAACTCAAGCCAGTAGTTATACTTACTATAATTCAACTACAGGACTACAGAGTTTAAGAAAACTTCAATTCATTGTTTTAGTGAATATCCACTTTGTACCTAAGGATTTCTAAGCACTTTGAGATGTAGAGAAAGATTACAAAATACAGCAATGGCTCTCATTCCCAACAAACTTACTTTTCTCAATAGGCAGACAAGACAGAGCTCTGGCCCTCTCCCATTGGCAGAGGTGACAGTGCTCCCTGCAGACCAATATGACAGTGAGTTTCAAATAGAGCAAAAGTAGTGAAAAACCAGGGAGACCTTGAGTACTATACCTGCAGGTGAAACCTTTGGTGTCCGAGCCACTCGCTTGGTTTTTGGGAGAGGAGGGACATCAAGCTCTGTAGAAAAGCACGTTGACTCCAGAATTCTCTGAACTTTCTTCTCTTTAAGAGGTGGACGTGATGACTTATCTACTTTATTAAAAGAAAAGGAGATTCAGAAAGGGGCTCAAAGGCTATTTTACCAGCAGCTGGATGCAGAAGTAATGCTATAATTTCTTAATAATGGAATTGCATAGTATTCCTAGAATTAACAGTCTGATTACCAGATTTAGGTGGAAGGGGTGGACTTGTAGGCTGTTTAATTGTTGCTATTTCTAGTTGTTTTTGCAAACATTTCATCTGCTCTTGCAACTTCCTTAGTTCATCTAGAAAAGAAAAAAATATATTGATTTAAGATCCAGAACAGAAGAAATATTATACATGATAAACATGCTGGAATTATTTTTGGTGCCATTCCCCCCACCTCGAAACTCTAAGACAGTATATTCACATACTGAGAACTACCACCAAATTTGTACCTCAAAGAGGCCCCTCAGAGAAAGAAACTTGGTATTTTCAGTAATCGAGCCTGTAATACCTAAGCTGGTTAGGAACTGGTACTACTGACAAATATCATAGATCCATATCCCCAGTTAACAAGTTTTTCGGTGTCAGGGAATGATTATTATTTTATAAACTGAATACCATAATTAATATACAATAAATAAGGGCTCTTTTACCATAAGAAACAGCCAACCACTGAATTTTATTAGAATTTCAAAATGTGTGAGCCGATGTCACAAATAAGAAAAGGGCGCTCCTCAAAGCTTCTGTTCAGAAATGGATCTCCTGCCCAAACAGACTGTGGAAGAGCCAGCAGTCTTGACCCTGGCTCCACATACAAATCTCTAAGTAAGATTCTTTGTTAATAGGCACGAAAAGATGTTGGAGCCATTGTGGGAAGGACCAATTATAGCTGGCTGACACTGAGACAGGGGGCCTCTACGTGCTGAAATGCCTGCCTTAAGTGTCTTATCTAAGTCCCACACTTTTTTTTTTGCCAAGCCATTTATCTCCACCTGACTCAGCAGCTATTTTGATGAGAACCATCAGGCTCCACCTAGTCTATCTTGAAGAAATTAGAAAAGCTAGTAGTTAGGGCACCTTGCAACTCTTGATTAGTTTTCCCCTGACTGGGAGCAGGAGCGGAGGGGACTCTATTTTCAGGTGACTGCCGTGTGGGAATTTCTTCTTCATCTGTTAAGTCCCCCATATCTCCAAAGAGAGTGGCCAAATTTTCCTTTTGCACTGCAGTCTCTCCCAGTTCTCCATCAGCGGCCTCCTCCGAGTAAGATTCACCATCGTCATCCGCATCAAAGAGCTCATCATAGGCGTCGGGTTCACGATTCTCCTGGGTCAAGGGGTGACTTTCTTCTGGATTACAATCCAAGGCAGACTCATTCTCCTCCAGCAGTGCAGTGAGCAGAGATAAGTCATCTTCCTCCCCTGGGGAAAAAGGATCGAAAATAGACCTACCTGAGAAAAAGTATCAATGGAAGTATCAAATGTGCTTTGGAGAAAAAGCACAGAGAATTAAAACATTCACCATTAATAAGGCAACTGAGGGACGCCTGGGAAGCTCAGTGGTTGAGCATCTGCCTTTGGCTCAGGGAGTAATTCTGGTCCCGGGATCGAGTCCCACATCGGGCTCCCTGTGAGGAGCCTGCTTCTCCCTCTGTCTGTGTCTCTGCCTCTCTCTCTCTGTGTCTCATGAACAAATAAATAAAATCTTAAAAAAAAAAAAAAGGGCAACTGAAATGACTCTGCTGTCTTGTGTTCACCTTTCCTCTTCCCAAGTGCTTAGTGGGCACCAGGCTAAGGTGTAAGGGGCAGGTATTTTTCATGCTTTTTCATTTAACATTGCATATCTGACTGATCTAAATCAAAACACAGACTTCTAGTTTACTTCTTTCAGTTGCTAGATGGCATTCCATAAGACTATCCCATTTTATTAACTCATATTCCAGTTAAGAACAGATGGGCTAGTTCCAACTTTCCCACCACAAACTAGGTGGCAACCAAAAATCTGCCTTGCCATACATGTGAGTTTCCTGGGAATACCTATCAGAAGTGGAATTGCTGGACTGCTGGGTATGCACACTTTCCAACTTTCCCAGACACTGTCGAACTGCTCCCAAAGTGGTTATACCCTCACTAGCATTGTATGCAAGTACCATTTCTCCCTTACCCCCTCACCAATATCTTTCACTTCAAATTTTGTGCTAGTCTGATGGATGATTTTAAAAGGCATCTCATTGTTCTGATTTGCGTTTCCAGAAATCTCACAAAGCAAAGAACTGTTTACTGTATTGGCCCTTTGGATTTCTTCTTTCTTGATTTGCTTATTTTCTGTGACCGTTTTTTCCTATTTGGGCATTAATCTTTTATAAATCTGAGCCATTTTAAAGCAAAGACATCAAGGATATTTCATGCATCCCCTTCCCTTCAAAGACAAGGGCTGACGTCCAGAGAGGTCAAAGGCCTGTTCAGGACCATGTGTGGTGAGACAGGTCAGCACAGGATCCTGGCTTAGGATGGAGATATCCAGGCTAACAAACAGTATTCTTCCCACCACTCTGCACTCTCATCAGATGAAAAATGACCAGTAGCCAAACTTATGTCCTAGAAATCTGATAAAAGGGTCTAAAGTTTGAAGTCAAAGGTTGCATAATAATTTGAATTGCTTACTCAAAAACACTCCATAATTGCAGGGTGCAGCAAGACAGAAGAGGCAGTCTGGCTCCCTGTGCAAGGGGTGAGACTGCCACATTGCCTCAAGACTGCCAACAGACCCTCCTCTGTCTTGTTCCCAGCTGTGGAAGAGAGCACACCCTAAAAAGAGACCTTGGCTCACACCACTGGGAGCCCCAGGTGACAAATTTTACCAACTGGCCTCCATATCCTTCCTCAACCCCATTTTCTATCAGGAGAGCACCAGAGATAATCCCGTGCTACCTCCCATCCTGGTTTAACTCACGCACCACCAAAAATCCTGTCTTCTGCATGGTATGCTGACCCAATCTCCCTGCTTCCTCACTCTGCTATATATACTAGACCCTCTTCCTCTCAGCTCCTCAGGGACTTCAGCCTATAATCACCAGCTCTCTTCCCAACATTGCCCATTATTCCCTATCTTCTGGAGCATTCCTCTCAGCATACAAATTCATTCTAGCTTCTTCTCTCTTACGAACTACCTGGTATTTTCCTACTTGCTATCATCATGCTCTCTGTACTAGAATGGAGGCAGAAATGTTGCTCAAACGTGTATCCCTAGCACCAGTAAACACTTCGATTTCATTTATATGGGACCAAATTGTTAACACTGTGCCAACCAAATGAATGCTTATTAGATACACTGATTTCTTAGAAAACACATACCATTTGCCACTTATTTTCTTAACTGTCTCATAGCAAACAATTATGCTTTATACATATACATTAACTGCCCTGAAGATAATTTGATGATTTTAGGAAACAGGACATTATTAATCTACCAAAGGTATAATCAACGTTACATGTTATCATAGTCGAAGAGTTTCAACAACATTTGGTTCTACGTTTTTTGAAAAGTGCAAGGTATAATAAACCTGGATTTAAAAACAAAATCCAGTTTCAGATAATGAGCTCAATCACACAACCAGAAAAAAAAAAAAAAGTGTTTTATTAGTCAGGGTCTCTCTGCAGCCAGCATCATCATTTTTGTGCTGCTCCCAGGCTAAGCTCTGCTAATTAGAGTAGCATCTCTTTACTAGGTAAAATTTTGTACATACCCTTACAAAGTAAGATTAGAAAGGACAAGAGTTTAATTCAGAGTTGGACTAAATCTACTTCAACAGATTTCAATACTAATTGTGAACTCTGAGGTCAGACTGCCTGGGTTCAAACCCCTGCTCTGGCAGTCTCATCTGTGACAAATTACACTAAACATCTGTCTTCCAGGATAAAAAATATGGCTGCTCAGAGGACTAAGACATTTAATATAAGCAGAGACCTTAGAACAGTGCTTGGCACATTGTAAGTACATGCCAACTACCATTATCATAAAAGACAATCACCACTACCAGGAGATAAAAATCCCACCTGATTAAAACGAGCAACATTCACTGACATGAGATCTTCTCTGAACCACTCAGACAATACTCAAGGGTGTGGTACTTTTGCTTTTTTCTAAGTAGAATAAATAACAAATCTACTGTGGACAAAAGGGTGGTTTTCAATGAAACAAACAGAACTTACCATCCATGCCGCGAAGAGAACAGTTGTGATGGAGAACTTTGAAGGAGAATCAGGTGCCCAGGAAATGGCAATAATGTCGAATCTCGGCTATGCTACGAAATCAGCATGGGAGAAGTCACTCTTGATTGTTTGCTCTCTCACGTAGCATATGTAATAAACCTAGGCTTGAAGCTCAGAACTCATCCAGAATCTGGCCATTTCTCATCCCCACCACCAACACCATCCCACTTTATCATGACTTCACACTGTGGTTATAGAAACTTGGTTGCAATATGGAGTCATTTGTAGGATACTAGATTATGTGGATGGGACAGATTGGGAACAAGTATTATTGAGGGTGGCTTAAATATTAGAGCTATTATCCCATTTTACTGACTGTGACACAAGTGACAGCTACCTTATCCACAGCAGTCTAGTGAGTGGTTTTATTTAGTTGCACCCTTGTCACATCAGGATTTCAATTCAGTACTACTTAGCAAAACCTACACTTGGCAGAGCTAAGTTAAGGTAAGTTCGTATACTTCTGTGCACTTGTCTTATTTCATTTAAGTGATTTTAAGAACTGCGAGGGAAAAAAGGAAACTTTCTTCTACATTACTATTCAACTAATAAGAGCTTCAGAGCTAATCTTCGTCTGTCCAATGTCAAACATTCATTATGATGCTTCCTTTTTATTTACTCAACAAATATTTCTATGGAACTACTGTGTACACCACACTGTACTGTCTCCTGGGAAACCTGCTGAGTTGTAACCTTCCTGAGGGTAAGCAAACGGTCTCATTCATCCCTATGACCAAGCGTCTTTTTCCCCCCAGAGCCGTGTACTCTATGTCACCCTCACGTCCAGGACCACCCAACTGCTATGAGCCCATAGTGGCTGTCTCCAAAATATCGTTCAGTCTTTTGCCTGAACGACTGCATGAGCTTCTGGTATTGATCTCTTGTCTCTCTATTACCTCTTCTCCACACAGTGGCCACAATAATCTTTTCTTTCCTTCATAATCTTCTATGAACCTTAACCGTGGTATTCCCTTAGTAAAGATTCCTTAGCCAGGGGCCGCCTGGGTGGCTCAGTTGGTTAAGCATCTGCCCAGCTCAGGTCCTGATCTCAGGGTCCTGGGGCTGAGCCGGGAGGGGGGCGGGGGTCTGTTTCTCCCTCTGCCTCTCCCTCTCTCCTCACTCTTGCGCGCCCACTCTCTCAAATAAATAAAATCTTAAAAAAAAAAAAAAGATTCTGTAATGATTTTTGCCTTAGAACAAAATTTAAAAGTCTATGAAGAAATGGATACTCCCTCTCGCCGCTCCCTGCTCCATCAGGCCAGCCTGCCCTCAGCTTCCTCCACACACGGAGTGCTCCCTAGGCCTCCGGCTCTTGGGGAGAGGCTCCCCCGGCTCCTTCTCACCCCACAGGCTCCCACTTCTCTGAGCGCCCTCCCCCCAAGCCCCGCACCTTCTCCGCGACTTTACAGCACTTTCCACTGCGGTGTGCTCCTTACCTCATGTTCTCTTTATTGCCTAAACTGCAGGGCGTAAGTGATGTTGGAGGCCTGCGCACAGCACACTTTCAGGGACTAGGAGCCAATCGTGAATTTAAAAAAAAAAAAAAATGAACAAATAAGATGTCTACATCGCAGGCGCTCGGCAGGCATTTATAAAAAGGTTCCTGTAGGAAAAAAACCCAAACAGGGGCGCCTGAGCGGCTCAGGGGTCGAGCGCCTGCCTGCGGCCTAGGGCGTGACCCCGGGGGTCCCGGGATGGAGTTCCACATCCGGCTCCCCTCAGGGGACCTGCGTCTCTGCCTCTCTCTGTGTGTCTCTCAGGAATACGTAAATAAAGTCTTAAAAACCAGGAATAAGTAAACAGAATCTTAAAAACCAACAACCAACAAACCTGGCCCCTAAAGCAGAGAGAAGGCCCACCGCGCGGCACCCCCTCAGCCCGGGCGAGCGGCGCCCCCACTTTGCGGGCGCTCCTCACGCGGCGGCCACCGCCCCGCGGCGCGCTCGCCCGCCCCGCGCCGGCGTCGCCCGCCTCACCGCCCGGGGCTCCGCGCCGCCCACCCTCCACTCCACGCTCTCCCGGGACCAGCCGTCGGAGACCAGCCACACGCCCACGGCCCCGCTTCTTACCCTCCTCCGCGCCGGCTCCCGCCCGGCAGCCAGACCCGCCAAAATTCCAACTTGGCCCCACCCCTCCCCTAACGCCAGACGCACGCTCACGTAAGGCCGCGCTGATTGGCTACGTCAGCGATCTTGACGTGAGCTACCCGGAAGAAATAGCGACTTGCCCGGCTGCGTAGAGCCATCTGATTGGCCCACGTGACGAGGGCCCCTCTCGGTTGGGGGCCCGGAAACTTCCGGCCGGTGAAGCCGCGCGCCTTAGACGCAGTGTTCTGGCGCCCCCGAGCGTCCTGCAGGGCGTTTACACCGGAGGTCGGACGCAATTCCTCACGCTCTCTGGGGCCGCCTCGTGCAGTCCTTCTGAGCCTCCTTCTCGATTTTTTTTTTGTATTTTTTTTTATTGGAGTTCGATTTGCCAACATAAAGCATCACACCCAGTGCTCATCCCGTCAAGTGCCCCCGTCAGTGCCCGTCACCCAGTCACCCCGTCTTCCCATCCATCTCCCCTTCCACCACCCCTTGTTCATCTCCCAGAGTTAGGAGTCTCTCATGTTCTGTCTCCCTCTCTGATATTTCCCACTCATTTTCTCTCCTTTCCCCTTTATTCCCTTTCACTATTTTTTATATTCCCCAAATGATTGAGACCATATAATGTTTGTCCCTCTCCGACTGACTTACTTCACTCAGCATCATACCCTCCAGTTCCATCCACGTTGAAGCAAATGGTGGATATTTGTCGTTTCTAATGGCTGAGTAATATTCCATTGTATACATAAACCACATCTTCTTTATCCATTCATCTTTCGATGGGCACCGAGGCTCCTTCCACAGTTTGGCTATTGTGGACATTGTTGCTAGAAACATCGGGGTGCAGGTGTCCCGGCTTTTCATTGCATCTGTATCTTTGGGGTAAATCCCCAACAGTGCAATTGCTGGGTCGTAGGGTAGCTCTATTTTTTTTTTTAAGATTTTATTTATTTATTCATGAGAGACAGAGAGAAAGGCAGAGACATGGGGGAGCCCGACATGGGACTCGATCCCCGGTCTCCAGGATCACGCCCCGGGCTGAAGGCAGCACTAAACCGCTGCGCCGCCGGGGCTGCCCGAGTAGCTCTATTTTTAACTCTTTGAGGAGCCTCCACCTGGAGGGTGAGGCCTGAGGCCGGGAACTCTCCTACAGGGCGCACATTCCAGGCGTTTCTCCCGCCCTTTCAAACGTCCTGTGGTTGGTGGATCCTAGAGGGATCTGAATAAGCTACTTGGTTATTTCACAGCCTCTTGTGTTCAGTGCAGATGGATGGACCCGGGAACACAAATCTGGTTCACTTTTGATTCTGTGTGACCTTGGGGAAGCAACTTGTCCCTTTGGGATTCTGCTTCACCGTCTGTAAAATGAGACTTGAAGTCTAGATGACATCCTTTGATGCGGTAGAAATCGCTCTTGAGGGATCCCTGGGTGGCGCAGCGGTTTGGCGCCTGCCTTTGGCCCAGGGCGCGATCCTGGAGACCTGGGATCGAGTCCCACGTCGGGCTCCCGGTGCATGGAGTCTGCCTATGTCTCTGCCTCTCTCTCTCTCTCTCTCTCTCTGACTATCATAAATAAAAAAAAAAAAATTAAAGAAATCGCTCTTGACCGAGGAATTTGTGACAGTCCACAGACTTGCAGAATTGTAACTGGCGTCAGGTTAACTTGTTAGGAGACCATGTTTTTCACAGAGCTGCCTTTTTTTTTTTCTTTTTTTTTAGTAAAATTCAGACTTTGTTAGGTAATTACATTCTAAAAATTGTGTTTGTACCAAATTCTGAGGACTGCCATGTTTAAGTGCAGAATTAAAGTTAGCTTATTAAATAATTACATAATTTAACAGAATTCAAAGCAGAAGAGTTTTTGATGGAACAAATGACTTTTAAAATTAACTTTTTAGTTAAAATTTTAGTTGACATACAGTGCAATATTGGTTTCTGGAGTAGAATTCAGTGCTTCATCACTTACATACAACACCCAGTGCTCATCCCAAGTGCCCTCAATTTCCATCACATAGGCAGAGGGAGAAGTAGGCTCCCTGCAGGAAGCCCGATGTGGGGACGTGATCCCAGGACTCCGGGATCAGGATTGGAGCCAAAGGTAGATGCTCAACTACTGAGCCACTCAGGTGGCCCCCATCTGTTTTTTTTTTTTTCTTAAATTCCACTTATGAGTGAGAGCATATTTTTGTCTTTCTCTGGGACTTGCAAATAACCATTTTAAGTCTTTTTTAAAATCCCCCCTCTTGCAGCCACTGTTCAGGCCCTGCATTGCCCCACTAATTATTCCATGTAAGACTGTATCCATTGTGTTTGACTTTGTTTTCAGAAAAACTAAAATCAGCTTTAGGATGAAAATAAACAGTCTGGATACCATCTACATTGATTTTTTTCCCTGTGTCCTAATGGAGTATTAATGCTCCTTATTATCTGAGCTTATTATAGTGTCCCAGGAATGGGAATAATACCACTTTCGAGAGCGGCTAGTGTTGAGAAATTCACAGCAATGGAGGAACTATTATAATCAAATTGAAGAAAATTAAATGTATCACCACATCTAATTGTAAAGGTTCATCACAGACTTACTGGCCATTATGCAGACATTCCTGGACCAATTCTGATTTGTTTCCCAAAGTTTTTTTCTTCAACTTGACTTTCCAGGTCTACTTTGCACCCAAATCCATGCAAGAAGTAGAAGATAGTACCGATCTAAGCTCTCAAGTTTCCCTCCAGTGAGGGATAGAGAGATTATTATTGGGGTTAGTAGAGTGGTGATTTTGAGAAAGAATTAGGAAAGTAGTTTCAGGACCCACTGATGGAAGGGAGGAAGGTAGGAAAACACCAAAGTTTAGGGTGTTTTGAGGCAATCCATTGATGCAGGGGACATAGGAAGCACAGAACAGGTTTAGGGGAGAAGACAGGCTTGGTTTTAGATTTCAGAACGAGGTATGAAAGATATTGCTTTAGAAAAACTTGATCTGCAGATGTGGGATTCAAAAGAGAGGTCCGTATTGCAGTGGTTCTTATCTTTTTGGCATAGGTGATCTCGGACGCCTTTGAGAACAGAAGGAAAATGTTTTTTCTCCCCCAAGAAAAATGTACATTCCTACATTCAAGATTTTGTATACCTTCTGAGGGGACTCACGTATTTTCCCAAAGACACTCTGAGTTAAGAACCTGAAAGCCAGAAACCTGAGACATGTGAGCCAGCGACAGAAGCTGAACAGGAGCAGCTGGAGTGGTTAGGAAAGCAGTGCCACTCTCAGCCCTAGGTCTAGGCCTAAGCTTCACATGGCCTTATGTTGATCCTCTTCTAGCTATGTCACTGTCCCTCCACAGGGTGAGGTGTCCCAGGGCCGATGGGATGCACTCATCCAAACCTGGGGCAGCCCCTGATACCCAAAGCTCTAATCCTGGGACCCTGGGATTTTTTCTTACCCAATGGCTCTGAGTCTGCTTTGAGGCCTGGCATGTCCTCTTCCCCTAGCTGTCCTTGAGGTCAGATCCCTCTGTTGAAGGGGTGGCTATTTGGTGGTGGGTGGGCTGTGGGTAGAGTGGGAGTTAAAGGGAGCTTGAACAGCAGGGAGGGGTGGAGAGAGGCTGCCAAGTGCTACACAGAACTGAGTCCAGGTGAGAGGACAAGCAGGGTTTGCAGGGCTGGGGCCCAATTCTCAAGGTGCCATGCTTCTGTACGAAACTCCAAGGAGACTATGAGCTTTATTTCTAAACTTTAAAACTTTACACATAGGATCTCTGCCTGTATCCAGGCCCCAGAGTTTTCCAGTGTAAGTGGTGAAGCTGCAGGAAAGAGATGGCCCAGGATGCTGAGGAAAGAGTGTGTTAAGAAGGAAATGGCAAATATCAATGTGACATAGGAGGGCTTCTCCAGGGCTGGTCCCCGGAGGAGTAGCTGCTGCAGCTCCTGGGAACTTCTGAGAAATCAAATGCTCATGCCTCACACCAGACCTACTGAATCAGAAACTGAGGGTTGGACCCAACATTCTGCATTCAGCCTTGTGGTCGCTGCATCTTTTACAGCAGTGGTTCTAAAGCTTTAGAGGGCACCAGACAGGAAAGTCTGTCTGCTTTGGGAACAAAAGAACTGGCCGAAGAAAGTGACCTCTCGCAGGAAAAGGAGAGGATGATGGCCTGGTTGGCAATACCTGGCGCCTCACAGAAATGGACTAGAGTGTCCAGAAGGAGCTTGCTGTGGACAGGAGCGAGATGGCCAGTTCAGTCTGAGGTGACAGTGCAGATTTCAGCAGGTGCCTTTAAACTATGTGACGGAAGCTGGAGAATATGTCAGGGCTCCACGCGTGGGCCTGGCATGTGGTGTAGTGAGTGTACTTGAGCTCTCCAAAGCAGAGGCTGTAGAAGCAGAATGTCCTTGAGTATGTCTATCTAGTTAATGCACCAGGTGATTAAACCACTTCCTCCATCCAAGGCCTGGCAGGCAATGCTATTCAAAATCAGAAAGTCAGACCTTCTACTGAGAGTAATAGCCAGTTTCCAAAGCTCCTCCACCACCAACTCCTCCCTGCACGCATCTGTTTACATCTGCATTCATGTCTTCTTGCCATATGTGCAGAACTCTCTAGAGTCTTATCCGAAAACTTGAGTCTGTCTGAGGACAAAGATCCTGTCCTGAGAAAAATGTTATCCTTGCTCAGAGGCAACCTCTCTACTTAGAGAATGAGGGGAAATCCCATCGCCCTGATTTTACTAACAGAATATTGTCTCTGTTGTGCAAGGAAGTATCTGTTGCTTTTTAATCAACCTAGAGGTTACTTTAAACAAGGAGGTATGTTCCTTCCTGTAGTTACCTCAACTGATATTTTCCAAAGGGAAG